CGTTTGAATAATATTTATTTGAAGATCAGAGTACTAAAACAAGAAAATATTTATATAAATATTCAGAAATAAAATAATAAAAAAAAATAAAAATATATCTATTATAAATTAGTTTTAAAATATGTAAATTAAAAAATTTTATTTATTTATTCATTCATTCATTAACAAATACGTAAAAGAATAATACCAAATGTGTGGAAATTCATACACATAAAAAAATATATTTTTTTTTATTTCAAATTTTTTTAATTTTTTTTTTTTTTTTTTTTAATTTTTTTTTTAAAAATTGTATTGTAAAAAAAAATTAAAAAAATTAAAAAAAAATAAAACTTTTTTTTTTTTTTTTTATTTTCACTAAAAATTTATTTCATTGTTTGTTATAAAACATAAAAAAAAATGTTATCAAACTTTTTAAAAGTTAATAGTAGAACTATTGGACCAGTAATTATCACACCTATCTATATATATTTGTAGAAATAGAAAATAGTTGTCAGATCACACACAAAATAATTTTACACGATGATCACAAAAAAAAATAAAAATAAAAAAAAAAAATTCGATTAATTGTGTTTTGTTTAAAAAATATTACTCTTTGTTTTTTTTTTTTTCTTCATTTAAATAACAATACATAAAAAAGGAGGACTATTGTCAATAATAAATGCAAACTCAAAATATGGTTTAAACTTATCGATAACAATATAAAAACTGGCAGTCTACTATTAATAATAAATATAATAACAAATAATATAAAGAATAGATTAATATTGTTTAAACAGCCTACAATAATAAAATAGTTTAAAGAAATAGAGAAGATATTAATATTTTATTTTATTTAATTTTAGATTAGAACTTTTGCCACTAAAAATGGTGAAGTTAAAATCACCTTCAAAAAAGCTGATTCCTACTTATGCGACGGTCCAGCCAATACTACTACCACCAATAAAGAAGAACTCATGAACTATTTCACCGAAATGACCCGTATGAGAAAACTTGAAACTGTTGCTGATGGTTTATACAAAAAGAAATTAATTAGAGGTTTCTGTCATTTATACAATGGTCAAGTAAGTTTAACAATATAAAAATATAGCATAATATTTTAGAAAATCAACAACACCAACAAATTGTCAAAACAGAAAATATTTTACAGATAGTCAATCAGTCAATCGATCGATCAAAAAAAAATATACTCAAATTCAATTAAATTTCCAATATTAAATTTATTATTATTATTATTATTATTATCTTATAGGAAGCTGTTTGTGCTGGTTTAGAATATTCAGTTACCAAAGAAGATCACATTATTACTGCTTACAGAGATCACACTTATATGTTATCCAGAGGTGCCACCCCAGAAGAAATTTTTGCTGAATTATTAATGAAAGAAACTGGTTGTTCAAAAGGTAAAGGTGGTTCAATGCACATGTTTACTCGTAACTTTTATGGTGGTAATGGTATTGTTGGTGCTCAATGCCCAGTCGGTACTGGTATCGCTTTTGCTCAAAAATACAACAAAACTGGTAACGTCTGTTTAACCCTTTATGGTGATGGTGCTGCCAATCAAGGTCAATTATTTGAAGCCTTCAACATGGCTGAATTATGGAAATTACCAGTCATTTTCGTTTGTGAAAACAATCACTACGGTATGGGTACCTCACAAAAAAGAGCTGCTGCTGGTCACGATTTCTACACTCGTGCTCACTATATCCCAGGTTTAAAGGTTGATGGTATGGATATCTTCGCTGTTCGTGAAGCTGGTAAATACGCTGCTGATTGGGCTCGTGCTGGTAAAGGTCCAATGGTTTTAGAAATGGATACTTATCGTTACGTTGGTCACAGTATGTCTGATCCAGGTATCACTTATCGTACCAGAGAGGAAATTAACTCTGTTAGACAAAATAGAGATCCAATCGAAAACCTTCGTAATATCATTTTAGCTAATAAATTCGCCACTGAAGATGAATTAACCACCATCGAAGATACTGTTAAACAAGAAATGGACGTTGCTGCCGATAAAGCTATTGCCGCTCCATTCCCACAAGCTAAAGAACTCTACACCAACGTTTATATCCAAGAAGTCCCAATTAGAGGTGTTGAATTATCAAACAGTTTCAAACCATAAATAATTAATCCATACCATAATAATTCCTTTTTAAATCATTAAAAAAAAAAAAACAAAAAAAAAAAAAAAAAACAAAAAAAAGTCTAATCATTTAATTTTCATTGTATTCCATTTAAATTAATTTGTTTAGGTTTTAATCTTTTTTTTTTTCTTTACAAAAAAATATATTATATATACAAAAAATAATAAAAAAAAATAATTTTAAAAAAAAAAAAAAAAAAAAAAAAAAGAATAGTTGTATTTATTTCTTTGTTATTTGGAATTATTGGGTTTTTCTAACAGCTAAATCTATTCAGTTTTGATCAAATATTACATTATTGGTTCTACCACAAATTAAGATTTGTAGTATTTTTTTTTTTTTTGTGATTTTTTTTTTTTTTTTTGTGATTTATCTTTTTATTAGTTTTGTGTGGTTTTACACTGTGATTTATTATTATTTACATTCAAAATGACACATAATTAATGAGGCCTATTTATGTCATTCTTGGATATTTGGGTGAGTTTCTTTTAAAAAAAACCCATTATATTTTTTTTTTAAAAAATTTATTTTTAATTATTGGTATACCGTGGTAAAAAAAAAACAAAATTAATCAATTTTGTTCAATAACATTAAGAAAAATATCTTTGAATATAAAAAAAAAAATTTTAAAATTTTATAATAATAAAAACCAATATTTTTATTTTCTTTTTTTTTTTTTAAAATTTTTTTATTTTTTGTATAATATAAAAAATAAATATATCTCTGTAATATTAGTTTTGTTAATCATTTTCGTTCGAATACTTGTATTTATATGTATGTACTTTAATTAAAATATTGTATTTTTATTTTATATTTTATTTTTAAACCCCTCTCTCTTCACACAAACAGATAAATAAAAATAAAAAATAGACAAAAAATGCAATGAAAATAGGAAATAAAAAAAAAAAACAAACAGAAAGAATATATAATAATTAAAAAAAATAATATCAATTTTTTTCAAATATATATAAATAATTAAATTTCCTCACACAGAAATCATTAATTTACAAAAAAAAAAAAAAAAAGTGATATTGCACCCCACTTCAACAAAAATAAAAGTAATCAAAAAAAAAAATAAATAAATAATTTTAAAATCAACTCAAAAATTTAAAACAAAACATTAATTTTTTTATTTATTCATTATTTGTTTTAAATCAATGATATGTTCAAATTTTTAGTGGTGTTTGTATGTGTAATTTAATTTGACCAAAATAATTTTATCTGATTATTTTAACAATAATCATAATTATTTTGAATAATGATAAATCTATTCCTCACTTCATTTTTAAAGAATAGCACAAAAAAATGGAAACATATAAACCACACTCTCACACACATTCACACACAAAATAAAAAATAAAAAACATACTATTTCATATAAAATCCGCTTATTTTTATTTTTTTTACACAAACTCAACACTCACCACTTAAATTCATGCACACACACGTATTCACAAACACACAATTATCAATATATTCATAACATTTTAGTATTTCATTTGTTTTTTTTGTATGTTTCTATTTTAAATAAAAAAAATTAAGTTGGTTAAATCACCATTTATATACACCCCTCTATTAAAAATTGTTCTTTGTGTTTTTTATTATTCAAAAATTTAATAAATAAAAAAATAAATATAAAACAACAACTTTTTTTGTGGTATCTATAAGGAGGCTTGTTGTGTGTATGTGTAGTGTGGTTGTGTTGATTTAATAGTTTTTTTTATTTACATATTTAATTTATAATTTAATTTTTTTTTTTTTTTAATTAATAACACAAAAAAAGCTTAATTTGATTTTAATTTTTTTTTTTTTGTAAATATTGTATTTCAATATTATTATTATTTTTTTTTTTTTTTTTATTCAAAATTTATTAAATCTTAAACATATTTATTAACTTTTATTTTTTATTTTTTTTTTTATAGAATTTACTTTTATTTTTTATCAGTATTTAATTTTTTGTATATATATTTCATTTATTTCATTTATTTAATTTAAAAAAAACAATTTAATAAAAAAAAAAGAAAAAAAAAAAAAAGAGAATAAAAAATTAAATTTAAATTTTTTTTTTTTTATATTTTTATTTAAATTTATTTTTTTAAATGGAATCATCAAACCAACCAAGGGATTTAAAATCTCTTTTGTCATTCTTTGAAGAGGTTAAAGATAAACAATCACATCATGATTTTTCAATTCATAATGGTAAAAAGAATACGGTACCCCAGGTGCCACCAAGAGCTCATTCACTTTCTAATGTAAGAACTGATGGTAATAATAGTATTAATAGTAATAATCCAGCAAATTTAACAACATCTTTTCAAGGTAACCAATTATATCAACAACAACAACAACATAATAATAATAACACAAAATCAATTCATGAACACTCACCAATATCATCAGCATCAACTACACCATCGGATTTACTATCACCAAATCAAATGGGTGTCGGTAGACCTCCATCTTCATCCATTGACTTTTTAAGAGCCAGTGGTAATAGCGAGTCGATGAATAAACCATTAAGACCATTATCAGCATCAACTTCTCCAACACAGATTAGTCAAAGTGCAGTACAATTCCAAAATGAAGAGTTAATAAGGGATATTAGAAATGAAAGGGCATCCCACCAACAAACTAAATATTTATTAAAATCACTCCAAGCAGAAAATCAAAAACTATCATCTGAAATATCCATTTGGAGAGCAAAATACTATAAATTATTAACAAAGAATCAAAAGGTCAAAGTTATTTTAGATCATTTCCAAACTGTAATGAATGAAAGTGATTCTATACCAGTGGATCAACCAAATGGCACCTTATCAAACTCTAATTCATTAAGAAAAATGAATGTAAATAATATTAGCAGCCCAAATGGTAATCAATTAAACACATCTGGGGAATCAGTTTCAAATTCACAATCACCATCGCACTCTATTCATCATCAACGTAACCACTCCAATTCAAGTGTTGGTAGTACTCATGGATATATCATTGATAAGTACTCTACAATCTCGTATCCAAGTGACACTACAAGAACTAGAAAACCTACAGTTAGTACATCAACATTTTTCTCCCACCCAAGTGTTTTTCCAGCATCCACTATTAGAGGTTCATCCTCAACATTTTCTTTAAATAATGAAAATACTGAAGTTGAAGATTTATCTGAAGAGGAGTATTACAGTATGCTAGAAAAGAGAAGAGAGGTTTCCCATCAAATTTTGAATACAGAAAGAGATTATGCACACTTTTTAAATATTATCGTCGAAGATTTCCTCACTCCACTTAAAGTTGAATGTTACCAATCAAATAATCCATTCATTACAGGTGTACAAGTTAAACAATTGTTTGGTGATATTGAAGTTATTTTGGGTTCAAGTAAATTATTAATCGAAGATTTAGAAAAGGTATTGCTAGATGGCTCTACCAATTCTATTGGTTTGGGTGACGTATTTTTAAAGATTGTATGTATATAATAATTTATTAGAATGTAAAAATTATATTTTATCACATATTAATATATTTTTTTTTTAATTTAGTGTGATTATTTTAAATTATATTCCCCATATGTCAAAAATTATTACTCATCAATTTCAATTTTTAATAAATTAAAAGAAGAAAGTCATAAATTCCAAACATTTATTCAAGAAAGAGAATATATATTAAATGAATACAATTTCACAGATTTAGGTTCGCTTTTAATTTTACCACTTACTAGAATTGGTCAATATACATCAATGATAAATTTATTATTCAATTTAACACCACAAACCCATCCAGATTTCGAATCATTCAAGAATGCAGTTAGAAAGATGAAATCAATTGTAGATTATGTTAAAGAAAAAATTAAAGATTTCGAAAGTCAAAATAAAGTTAGAACTATCCAAAATCAAATGGTTGGTAAATTTGATAATTTAAATCTTCCACATAGACGTTATATCAGAGAGGGATTACTTACAGAAATTTCAAAGAATTCAAATCTTACTCAATACCATTGCTTCCTTTTTAATGATATCTTTGTACTTTCTACCCCAATAAAGAAATCGAACCAATATCAATTCAAAAAGAAAATCTCATTTTTAGATGCTGAAGTATCAATGATATCAGATCCTGAGGATAGACCAGTATTCCAAATTTCTATACCAACTGCAGAAAGCGAGGGTTCTCCAAACATGCTCTCATTGAATGGTTTATCATCTGCATTGGTTAGTTCAATTGGTGGTGGTAATGGTAATAGTTCAATCTCTATTAGCAGTGGTGTCGATAAAACAAAGAGTGGTAAAGAAGATGATTCAAAGAATGAAGAAAAAGAGGTTTATACATTCATTGCCGATAGTAATAGAGATAGAGAAGAGTGGATTGCAGCTATTCAACATCATATAACCGCAACTAAAAAGAATTTTGATAATAGAAAACCAGAGGATATCGAGAAGGGTGGTATTGATTTCAATACATCCGAAATTAAATTATGCGAACAAATTGGCAGTGGTGGTAGTGGTTGTACAGTTCATAGATGCACAGTCGATGGTTTCACTTGTGCTGTCAAGGTTTTAAAACTCAAAAATACCTCAGAGTATTTGGTAGAGCAATTCGTTTCAGAAATTAAAATCATGGTAAAATTAAGCAATCAAAATATTGCAAAATATTTGGGTCATCGTTTAACACAGGGCCAGTTATGGTTGTTTATGGAATTTTATCCACATTCACTTAAGGATATCATTTCCAAGAGACAAGCTCCTTTCCCAGCAACCGAGGTTATTTGGATGGCACTAGAAATCGCCAAGGGTTTAGAATTTCTTCATACACAAAAACCACCTATTATTCACAGAGATTTAAAGCCAGGTAATATTATGTGTTCACTTGATGAAAATGGTAAGGTTTGTAACATCAGGGTTTGCGATTTCGATACATCAAAAGAAATGGGCAGTGGTGTAATGTTAAAAACATGTATTGGTACTCCATGTTATATGGCTGCTGAAGTTTTAAATGTCTCTGAAGAAAATGGAAATGGTTATAGTTTGAAAGCCGATATTTGGTCATTCGCTATGCTTTGCTTTGAAATTATTGCATTATTGCCACCTTATCATCAATTCCAACATCTTCAATCAATTGAAATGATTATAAATGGTACTTGCCCACCTTTACCAAGTCATTTAATTTCACCTCAACTCCAACCACTCATTGAGCTTTTAGTAACATGTATTGATTTGGTTCCATCCAAACGTCCAACTGCAACCCAATTAGTTTCAAAATTAACAAAAATGTTAAAAGTTTCTGGTAAATTACAAGAATAATAAATAAATAACAAGTTTAAAAAATAAAATTTTATTTCAACAAATGTATTTTAATCTTTTTTGTTATTTTATTTATTTACAACTTTAGTGCAATTAAATTTGTTTTTTGTTTTAATCATTAACCACAGATAATAGTCTTAATTATTATTTAATTAGCAAAATTTAACCCAGATTTTATTTAAATTTAAACGATATCTCTGATCGAAAAAAGTTTTATATCCAATATCCTCATTGGTGTAGTCGGTAACACTCTAGTCTTTCACACTGGTACCTCGGGTTCGATTCCCGAATGGGGAGCTTTTTAAATGAATATATCTTCCTGGTGTTTTGAACAATATCCGACAAGTTCGAAAATTCTAACCTTTTAGTCAAAATGTAATGAACAAGGATCATTACTCAATTGGGGGAGCAATGATAGCCAATTGGTCGAACGAATTTCCTCGAAACCCAGTCTCAGCAAGTTTTCCGAATCACACACGAATTGACGTTACCGTGCCCAACTTGTATGCAGAGTGGTAAAACTCATTTAAGTATTAAACACATACCAAACAAAAACAAACACAATAAACAAACTGATTACTTAATGCATCATTAAAAATCATCTACACTTTTTAAAAAAAAAATAATCAAAAATGGGGGTGCATATAACTAATAACTCCTTATACTTCCAAAAATTTTAATAAGATACTGTCTCTAATAATATAAATTATATCATTTTTTAATTATCTTCACTTTTTAAAAAAAAAAAAAAAATTATATCATTTAGAAGGATTTTTTTTAAGTTTGTTATTGCTTATTAATTTTTTACGAAATTTAAAAATTATTAAACCTATTTCAATATTATAACACGATATTATAGGTTCTTTAAAACTGAAAAGTGAAGATATATTTTATTCAAATATTAGAATTTATTTTTATATAGATATCACAATTATGTTCAAATTTTATTGCAAAAATTATATATAAAAAAAAAAATTTCACCCTAAATACACCCACCCACACTTTTTTTTCACACTAAAAACACTTTTTTTTATATATAAATTTATAATTATCAATATTTTAATAGTATATAAAAATTGTTATTTTTTTTATTGGGTTTCATTATTTGGGAACTGATTTAAAATAAAACAAATTTGTTTTTATTTATTTTTTTTTATTTGTTTTTTTTAATATCGACACAATATTAAACAATTTTATTATTGTATAGTTATTAAAAAAATATGTTTAAAGAAAAAATAAAAATAATAATTTTGGTGGTTTTTATTCATTTATCAATTTGCTTTGGTTTTCGTAAGTTTTTTATTTTATATTGTTTTTTTAAATATTAAAATTATTTAATTTAAAATTTTTAGATATTCATTCTACATATAGAAAGATAGTTGTTGATTTTGCTGCATTGTATACCTGTGTTCCACTTAATGTAACAATTTATAAAGATCCACTTCTTAAGATTCCATATTTAACTTTTAATTATACTTGGTCTAAATTCACCGATCCAGAGCATCTTAATTATACTTTTGAAAGAGTTACTTTAGAAGCAACTATGGATAGTAAAAAATACTATGGGTCCGTTGCAAGTGCTTGTGTAATTGATGGTAGAACAAATAAAACCATTTGTGGGTATAGAAGTTACGAAATAGATAAATGTTTGTTTTCTCCAAACAACGTAACCATTTTAAATAGTCCTCCAACAAAAGGTGGTGTTGTAAATGTAACTGGAGAGTTCATGAGATTCGGGGGAGCTGGAGATATGAAAAAGGCATTTTTAAGATCACATGATTTTTATCAAAATATAACTTTTGCCGGTGAATATGACGACCCAAACTATAATCCAAACTTTCTTTCAATTATTTTTCCACCTGGTTATGGTAAATTTCAAGTTTGTATAGATTAATATCAAGAATATTGCTTTGACTTGTCATTTCAAAGACCATTGATCTCATCAGTATATTATAATACCACAAATCAGCATTTTACAATTAAAGGTGATAATTTTAATAATTCCACATTAGGACGTAGAAAGGCAACCATAGTATTTGTATATATTAATGGTTCACTTTTAAATCAAAGTGATATCACATCAATCAGTTATGAAGAAATGGTTTTAAACTATTCATCAATATACACTCAAAAACTAAATATTTCAATTAATATTGATTCGCTTTATACAAATAATACAATACAAATACCACCACACCCAGCCTCATATTCCACTAATGCTACAAAGTATAATGAAGGTATTGTTGAAATTACTGGTACACAACTTTTATCACCATTAGACCAAAACGATCTTAAAATTAGAATTTTCGGCAAATTATGTAACATCATTCCACCTAACAACTTAACCTATATTAAATGTACATTACCAAAAGGAGTTGATAATAATCAAAATACAATTCAAGTGTGTGTAAACAATATATGCAGTATAAATAACCTAATTTATGAATATTCAAAGCCCATTATTTCAAGTGTCACACAAAATGGTTCTATATTTACAATACATGGTAAATACCATGGTAGTTATAATGATAATTCTACACAAGTTATTGTAACATATGATAGTAATACAAAGCAAATAATATTACCATTATCCATACAAACTGATGAAACTGAATCGGTATTCAAGATTCCATTCTTTTGTGGAAGTGCAATTGTTCAATTAGTTGTAAATGTTGAAATTATATCGCCACCATCTGCAAATTCTAAAACGCAGTTAATAGTTTTACTTTCATATTATGAATGTAAATATTATAAAAGTAATACTTTTAATCCAATATTCAATATTCAAAACTCAAAATCAATTGGAACGAAAGTAAACAACACATATTCTTTTAATGTTATACCTGGTACTGGTACAAAACAAGCAACTATAACATTTGCAAACAAAAATGTTACAATAGAGTACTCATATGCAAAACCAAAAGTTTTAAAGCATAATGTCGAATATAATGATCCAATAAATACCGTTATACTTTATGGTGTTAATTTTGGTACAAATTCATCATTGTGCAATATTACATATAATGGTTTTGAAAAAGAATGTCAAGTAATAGACCATTATCAAATTAAATTTAAAGTAGAATCAATTGAAATATCTTCAAACATATCGATTACAATTGATGGTATTATATCAGATAGTTATATAATGGAGCTTATCAAATGTAAACTTATTAATGATCAATTGTATCCTACATCATTTGGTTGTTTAGAATCAGAACCAGTGATTAATTACTATTGTGATGGTTTAAAAACATACTCTTCTAAAACTGATCCAAACAAGTTATTAAGTGCAACTTTTGACGATGAAACTACTATGATTGATTTCCAAGGCAATAACATATCAGTTCATATTAAAGAAGGTGTATCATCATCCACATTAAAGCTCTTTTTAAATGGTATCTTTTCAAAATTAAATAATATTAATAGAAAAGAAGGTATTATTTACAACTCTAAAATACAATATGATGAACAACAAAGTTTAATTAATCTTGATATAACTGGATTTAACTTTGGAGAACCATACGATATTGGTTTGCCTACAGTTTTTAATACAACTTTTGCAAATAAAAACTGTTCAATGTTATACCATGGCACAAAGTATAACAAAAACTGTACAATCGATATAATTACATGTCAATTAACTCTACCACATAATTTTAACAAAGATCTTATATTAGAAGATAAAGAAAGTAGTAATACAACTCTTACGATTCCATTTACACTTAAATTAGGTAATAATACAATCTATTCGTCATTTAATAATATTGAACATATACCAGCCAAAGATAATAAGAAAAAAACAAAAACTATTGCATTAGCAACTACATTATCAATTGGATTAACTTTACTTTTTGCTGGCAGTGTATATGGTGTTTGGAGACATCATCAAAACAAAATTGAAAATACAAAAAAAGAAAAAAATTAAAAAATAATAAAAAAAAATAGAAATAAGAAATAATGTTTAAAAAAAAAAAAAAAAAAATAAATTTATTTATTAATTAATTTTTTATAAAAGTTATTTATGTATAATTAAATGATATTATAGGTTCTTTTTAAATAGAAAGTGAAGATATATTTTTAATTGAATATAGGAATAAATATTTTTATTAAAAATAGGAGTATATATTTATAAATAGATATATCAGTTAAGTTCAAATTTTATTGCAAAAATTATATTTATAAAAATTAGCCCTAAATACACCCACCCACACTTTTTTTCACACTAAAAACACTTTTTTTTATATGTAAAATTATAATTATACATATAAAAACACTATTTTTATATGTAAAGTTTTAATTATAAATATTTTTATTAGTATTCAAATGTTGTTATTTTTATATTGAGCTTCATTAATTGATTATTGATTTAAAAAATTAAAAAAGTAATTATTTTTTTTTTTTTTTTAAATAAAGATTCAATATTAAAGAATTTACTATTGGATAGTTTTTAAAAAAATATGTTTAAAGAAAAAAAAATAATAATAGTTTTGGTGTTTTTGGTTCATTTATCAACTTGCTTTGGTGTTCGTAAGTTTTAGATTATTTAAATTAATTATTGTTTTTTTAATATTAAAATTATATTTTAATTTAAATATTTTAGATATTAAATCGACATATAAAAAAGTAGTTGTCGACTTTAATGGATTATATGATCTTGTTCCACTTAATGTAACCATTTATAAAGATCCTTATTTTAAAATTCCATATTTAACTCTTAATTATACTTTGTCTAAATTCACCGATCCCGAGTATTTTAATTATACTTTTGAAAGAGTCAGTTTAGAAACAACTATGGATAGTAAAATATTCTATGGGTCCGTAGCAAGTGCTTGTGTAATTGATTTAAAAACAAATAAAACCATATGTGGGTATAGTGATTACGAAATAGAAAAATGTTTGTTTCTTCCATACAATGTAACGTTTTTAAGTAGACCTCCAACAAAAGGTGGCGTTGTAAATGTAACTGGAGAGTTCATGAGATTCGGAACTAATGATATGAAAGTGGCATTTATAAAATCAGGAGAATTATATCAAAATCTTACTGTTGCCGGTGAATATGATGACCCAAACTATAATCCAAACTTTCTATCAATTACTTTTCCACGTGGTTTTGGTAAATTTAAAATTTGTTTAGATTACATTCAAGATTATTGTTATGATTTGTCATTTCAAAGTCCATCGATCTCATCAGTATATTATAATACCACAAATCATCATCTAACAATTAAAGGTAATAGTTTTTATAATTCCACACGTGGAGAAAAAAAGACTACCATATTATTTGTATATATTAATGGTTCACCTTTAAAAGAAAGTGATATATCACCAATTGGTTATGAAGAATTGGTTTTAAAATATTCATCAATTTACACTCAAGATTTAAATATTTCAATTTATATTGATTCGCTTTATACAAATAATACAATACAAATACCACCATACCCAGCCTCATATTCCACTAATGCTACAAAGTATAATGAAGGTATTGTTGAAATTACTGGTACTCAACTTTTATCACCAAAAGACCAAAACGATCTTAAAATTACAATTTTTGGCAAGTTATGTAACATCATTCCACCTAGCAACTTAACCTATATTAAATGTACATTACCAAAAGGATTTGATAATAATCAAAATACAATTCAAGTGTGTGTAAACAATATATGCAGTATAAATAACCTAATTTATGAATATTCAAAGCCCATTATTTCAAGTGTCACACAAAATGGTTCTATCTTTACAATTCAAGGTAAATACCATGGTAGTTATAATGATAATTCTACACAAGTTATTGTAACATATGATAGTAATATAAAACAAATAATATTACCATTATCCATACAAACTGATGAAACTGAATCAGTATTCAAGATTCCATTCTTTTGTGGAAGTGCAATTGTTCAATTAGTTGTAAGTGGTTTAAAATCAAATGAATATACTATTAACGCAAATTCAAATGTTGAAATTATATCGCCACCATCTACAGATTCTAAAATGCCATTAATAGTTTTACTTTCATATTATGATTGTAAATATTATAAAAATAATACTTTTAATCCAATATTCAATATTCAAAACTCAAAATCAATTGGAACGAAAGTAAACAACACATATTCTTTTAATGTTATACCTGGTACTGGTACAAAACAAGCAACTATAACATTTGCAAACAAAAATGTTACAATAGAGTACTCATATGCAAAACCAAAAGTTTTAAAACATATTGTCGAATATAATGATCCAATAAATACTGTTATACTTTATGGTGTTAATTTTGGTACAAATTCATCATTGTGCAATATTACATATAATGGTATAGAAAAAGAGTGTCAAGTAATAGACCATTACCAAATTAAATTTAAAGTAGAATCAATTGAAATATCTTCAAACATATCGATTACAATTGATGGTATTATATCAGATAGTTATATAATGGAGCTTATCAAATGTAAACTTATTAATGAACAATTGTATCCTACATCATTTGGTTGTTTAGAATCAGAACCAGTTGTTAATTACTATTGTGATGGTTTAAAAACATATTCATCTAAAACTGATCCAAACAAGTTATTAAGTGCAACTTTTAACGATGAAGCTACTATGATTGATTTCCAAGGCAATAACATATCAGTTCATATTAAAGAAGGTTCATCATCCATATTAAAGATCTTTTTAAATGGTAACTTTTCAAAATCAAATATAATTAATAGAAAAGAAGGTATTATTTACAACTCTAAAATACAATATGATGAACAACAAAGTTTAATTAATCTTGATATAACTGGATTTAACTTTGGAGAACCATACGATATTGGTTTGCCTACAGTTTATAATACAACTTTTGCAACTAAAAACTGTTCAATGTTATACCACGGTACAAAGAATAACAAAAACTGTACAATCGATATAATAACATGTCAATTAACTCTACCACATAACTTTAACAAAGATCTTATATTAGAAGATAAAGAAAGTAGTAATACAACTCTTACGATTCCATTTACACTTAAATTAGGTAATAATACAATCTATTCGTCATTTAATAATATTGAACATTTAGCAGCCAAAGATAATAAGAAAAAAACAAAAACTATTGCATTAGCAACTACATTATCAATTGGGTTAACTTTACTTTTTGCTGGAAGTGTATATGGTGTTTGGAGACACCATCAAAACAAAATTGAAAACACAAAAAAAGAAAAAAATTAAAAATAATAAAAAATAGAAAAAAGAAATTATAAAAAAAAAAAAAATAGTAAAATAAAATTTTTTTTGAATAAAAAATAATATAATTTATTTATTTATTATATTTATATGTTAGAGATTTCTGTATTCTAACCCGATTTTATTTTGTTGTTTAATATCTTATTTTTACCACCTACTTAAATAACACAATATCATTTTACAAACACCTGAAGGAAAGCCATCTGCAATACCTTTCCACTTTTTGGACAATAATAAACCAATAAGGTTAAAGCTGATTATAACCGTTTCAGGAATTGTTATTGATAATTTGTTAGATTCCTTGGGAACAGGGGGTTCCTCTTTTACTAAATAGAAATAAAAAACTAATAAGTTGTTCAATAAATATACTTTTTTATATTATAATATTATAATTACAGTTATGTGTAAAGTTGTTTTTTAATACTGCAGTTTGACCATCAACTGTAACATAAATATCAAAAGTTTTATTTTGATATTCAGTTTTTTGATTTTTATCCACAGAATTTAGTAAACAGGTAATCACTTCAAAACCCTTTAGTACGCTAGGCCATCTTCATTGTTCCTTACCAATGAAAATTTTTAGACCAATTCTATTGAAATTACCACCAAAAATTGTTATTAAACGATTATCACTTTTACCGGGAGATCCATAAACAGTTGGTGGGTAAAATGAAAATGTAATATTGTCTGGATTTATTGCATTTCTACCTTTAATGCTCATGAAAATTTCATGATTGTGTCCTGATGTGATTCTTCTTTCACCAATACCAACTAGTTTAATTTCTTGACCTGAAATACCGGTAACATTACATTTTAATATTGTATTATCTTCATATATGGTTATGTTGTTACATGGAATACCGGATGGAGCTCCTCTTGGAGATCTAAATGAAATAGCAGCTCTTGGGCTAAGATATTTTCCATATATTGTAACTTCACCTCCACTTATAAGGATTGAGTTTATTTTTAAAATTACGGGTTTAACAGCAAATTCATATTGTTTCTGTATATTTTGATGATCTGGTATTCCAACAGTTATATCCAAATAGTGAAGTCCATGAAGTAATTTGGGTGTCATAAATTGCAAACACGAATCGTTAACATTTGAAATTTTAATTTGTGTTTCTCCAGATACTATGGATATTTTGTTTAGATCTCTTCCAAAATTATAACCAAATAGTGTTACCAATCCACTTACATTATATTCAATACCAGAAACTAACGGGGCACCCTATAAAGAAATATGTTGTTGAAAATTTCCCTCCAGGGTGCGGCGAAATCAAAATAGTATATGAATACACCCCTTTTTTTGGTAGTTATAAAAAACCAAAATTAAAGGATCAAATAATAAAATTAAACTTGTTGGTTCAAATATTTATAAACCAAAATTAAAAATTACTGGCCCTTTTGATTCCAAGAACACTATTTCAACTAAAGAATTTAACAACTATACAAAATTGCAACAAGAAATCTCCTATTTTGAAATTCCTCAAATATTATATTGTGGCATGTGGGATATCGTTTTGGAAATATGTGATTCTGATATAAAAGAAGTAAATTTTCAAATTACAAATGAACCAAAAATTGAAGGAATCACATCAGTTTCATCTAAAGATGGTGGAAATGTAAAAAAAAAAATGTATATATAAAAAAATAAATATATTATTAATAATAACAAATGGGAAAGTTTACAAACACCCATTCCAAATATATGATGATATTGGTATCACAGTTAAGTTCAAATTTTATTCAATAATTATATATTAAAAAAAAAAATTCACCCACACTTTTTTTTCACACTAAAAAAACTTTTTTTCACACTTTTTTTTTATATATAAAATATAATTATCAATTAAAAAAAAAAAATTTATATACTAATTATGTTTTTATTAATAATATATCTTAATTAGTATATAAAATTTTTTTTAATTGAGCTTCATTATTTGGGAATAGATTTAAAATAAAACAAATAAGTTATTATTTTTTTTTTTTTTTTTTAATTGTTTTTTTATATTTGTTTTTTTTATTTGTTTTTTTTTTTACATGTTTTTTTAATAAAGACAAAATATTAAAAAATTTTACTATTGGATAGTTTTTTAAATAAATGTTTAAAGATAAAAATAAAATAGTAATTTTGGTGTTTTTGGTTCATTTGTCAATTTGCTTTGGTTATCGTAAGTTTTAGATTTTTATAATTTATATTTTATTTTTTTAAATATTAAAATTATAATTTTAATTAAATTTTTTAGATGTTCAATCTTCATATGGTAAAATAGTTGTTGACTTTACTGGATTATATGACCGTGTTCCACTTAATATAACCATTTATAAAGATCCACATCTTAAAATTCCATATTTAAATCTTAATTTTACCTGATCTAAATTCACCGATCCCAAATATCATAATTATGTTTTTGATAGAATTACCTATGTGGCAACTATGGATAGTAAAAAATACTATGGATCCGCAGCAAGTGCATGTGTGCTTGATGGTACAACAAATAAAACCGAATGTGGCTATCAGGTATACTCCATAAATAGATGTTTGTTTCTTCCATACAATGTAACGTTTTTAAATAAACCTTCAACAAAGGGTGGGTTTATGAATGTAACTGGAGAGTTCATGAGATTCGGAACTGGTGATTTGAAAGTGGCTCGTTTTAAATCAAAAGATTTTTATCAAAATGTAACTGTTGCCGGTGAATATGATGATCCAAACTATAATCCAAACTTTCTATCAATTACTATTCCACGTGGTTATGGTAAATTTATATTTTGTTTAGATTGCGATGAACGAGTATGTTATGACTTGTCATTTCAAAGTCCATCGATCTCATCAGTATATTATAATACCACAAATCAGCATTTAACAATTAAAGGTGATAATTTTTATAATACCATATATGGGGCTAGAGAGAGAACCATAGTATTTGTATATATTAATGGTTCACTTTTAAATGAAAGTGATATCACATCAATCGATTATGAAGAAATGGTTTTAAAATATTCATCTATATACACTCAAGAACTAAATATTTCAATTATTATTGATACGCTTTATACAAATAATACAATACAAATACCACCATACCCAACCTCATATTCCACAAATGCTACAAAGTATAATGAAGGTATTGTTGAAATTACTGGTACACAACTTTTATCACAAAAAGACCAGAACGATCTTAAAATTACAATTTACGGTAAATTATGTAACATCATTCCACCTAGCAACTTGACAAATATTAAATGTAGATTACCAAAAGGAGTTGATAATAATCAAAATACAATTCAAGTGTGTGTAAACAATATATGCAGTATAAATAACCTAATTTATGAATATGCAAAACCTGTTATTTCAAGTGTCAAACAAAATAGTTCCATCTTTACAATACAAGGTAAATACCATGGTAGTTATAATGATAATTCTACACAAGTTATTGTAACATATGATGGTAATATAAAGCAAGTAATATTACCATTATCCATACAAACTGATGAAACTGAATCGGTATTCAAGATTCCATTCTTTTGTGGAAGTGCAATTGTTCAATTAGTTGTAAATGGTTTAAAATCAAATGAATATACTATTAATGCAAATTCAAATGTTGAAATTATATCTCCACCATCTACAGATTCTAAAACGCCATTAATAGTTTTACTTTCATATTATGATTGTAAATATTATAAAAGTAATACTTTTAATCCATTATTAAAAATTCAAAATTCAAAATCAATTGGAACGAAAGCAAACAACACATATTATTTTAATGCTATACCTGGTACTGGTACAAAACAAGCAACTATAACATTTGCAAACAAAAATGTTACAATAGAGTACTCATATGCAAAACCAAAAGTTTTAAAACATAATGTCGAATATAATGATCCAATAAATACTGTTATACTTTATGGTGCTAATTTTGGTACAAATTCATCATTGTGCAATATTACATATAATGGTATAGAAAAAGAGTGTCAAGTAATAGACCATTATCAAATTAAATTTAAAGTAGAATCAATTGAAATATCTTCAAACATATCGATTACAATTGATGGTATTATATCAGATAGTTATATAATGGAGCTTGTCAAATGTAAACTTATTAATGAACAATTGTATCCTACATCATTTGGTTGTTTAGAATCAGAACCAGTTGTTAATTACTATTGTGATGGTTTAAAAACATATTCATCTAAAACTGATCCAAACAAGTTATTAAGTGCAACTTTTAAAGATGAAGTTACTATGATTGATTTCCAAGGCAATAACATATCAGTTCATATTAAAGAAGGTGTATCATCATCCACATTAAAACTCTTTTTAAATGGTATCTTTTCAAAATCAAATCAAATTAATAGAAAAGAAAGTATTGTTTACAATTCTAAAATACAATATGATGAACAACAAAATTTAATCAATCTTGATATAACTGGATTTAACTTTGGAGAACCATACGACATTGGTTTGCCTACAGTTTATAATACAAATTTTGCAAATAAAAACTGTTCAATGTTATACCATGGCACAAAGTATAACAAAAACTGTACAATCGATATAATAACATGTCAATTAACTCTACCACATAACTTTAACAAAGATCTTATATTAGAAGATAAAGAAAGTAGTAATACAACTCTTACGATTCCATTTACACTTAAATTAGGTAATAATACAATCTATTCATCATTTAATAATATCGAACATTTAGCAGCCAAAGATAATAAGAAAAAAACAAAAACCATTGCATTAGCAACTACATTATCAATTGGATTAACTTTACTTTTTGCTGGTAGTGTATATTGTGTTTGGAGACACCATCAAAACAAAATTGAAAATACAAAAAAAGAAAAAAATTAAAAATAATAAAAAAAATAGAAATAGAAATGATTGTACAAAAAAAAAAAATAGTAAAAAAATAAATAAGTTTATTACTGAATATTAATATTTTTAATGTCATATATAATTTATTGATCTTTCAATTTTTTGATTTTCAGTTTCTACTTCATCTGTTGAAATAGAAAGAACCTTTTCTGGTACAAAGTTGTTAGTAATAGACAACTGATCAAATTTTATTATATTTTTAATACAATTTTTAAATCAATTTTTTTACTATTTTAATTTTTTTTTAAAAATAGGAAAAAATTTAAAAAAAAAAATTAAGTTTTTTAATTTTTTTATTAACAAAAATTTACAGATCCAGATTTTTAAAAGATATTTTTTAATATCTTCATTATAAAATTAAGTCTAAATTTTAAGTTTGTAAATTTTGAGTTATATTAATTTTTTTTTTAAAAATTTATTTTTTAAATTAATCATTTATTATAAAAAAAATTTTATAGAAAAATAATTTAAAATGGATCAATTATTACTAAATGCTTTTTCGGCATGTCTACAAGGATATACCTTTGAAAAAAAAAATGATAGTAAAAGTCAACACAGTTTTAATTTTGGTATTTTTTATACACAAAATTTATCAAGAGGATACTTGGGGAGCAATTTAGAAATGGAACAAGATAATAAGAGTATTAGAGATTCCGATACTAGATTTTTACCTAATATTTCAATTTTTGTCAAGACACTTAAAGGTAAAACATTAGAAATTGGACAAATAACAACAAATACTAAAATTAGTGAAATTAAATTTATAATTTTATTAAAAGAAAATATTCCAATAGAACAACAACGTTTAGTATTTGCTGGTAAACAATTGGATAATGGAACATTAGGGGACTATAATATCCAAAATGAGTCTACCCTTCATTTGGTACTTCGTAATCGTGGTGGTGGGATTTACATTTTTTATATTGATGATAAATTTCTTTCCCCTAAATTCAATCATGATTTTACAAATATAGTTGATATTGATACTTTTATCAGAGGTGGAGAGATTTATAAGCGTCCATGTGGCTGGATGAGATTTGCTTTAAATGTGGAAGGAATATTTTCAAGTGAAGGAAGTGAATGGTTAAGTTTTGATAACTCACCAGGTGAATGGGCAGTTTCTTATCATGGTACAGGTAAATCGGAATCTGGTTCTATTGCAGAAGATGGTTATAACTTATCAAAAGGAAAAAACTTTGCTTTTGGAATAGGTATTTACTCTACACCATTGATCGAATGTGCGGCGAGATATGCAAAGTCCTTTATTAACGATGGTCACAAATATATTGTTGTATTTCAAAACCGTGTAAATCCAAAAACATTAGTAAAAATTTCAAAAGAAAAAACATGTGATGAGGAGTATTGGATTTCACCAACAGAAAAAGATATCAGACCATATGGTATTTGTATTAAAAAATCATTAGTATAAATATATATTTATTAAAGAATTTATTTTTCTTTATTATTTATTGTAACTATTTAAAACTCTGTTCATTTATTTTCTTTAAAAATATAAAAATAAAAAATATTAAAAACTCTTTTTTACAGTTATTTAAAATATAAAATTTATTCTTTTTTTATTAAACAAACCAATACCTCTTAACCAATTGATCTTTTTTTATTCATATTTTCAAACAAAATGATAATAATTTTTTTTTTAAAAAAATTTTATGTCAATAAAATAGTAATAATTTTACTGTTCCAAATCTCATGAATTCTCCAGTTACCTTTACAACCCCACCCTTTGTTGAGGACTATTTAAAAACTTTACATTATGTGGGTATAACAAATATCTATTCATTGTGGATGATCTATAGCCACATATGGTTTTATTTGTTGGACCATCTATTACACAAGCAGTTGCTGCAGACCCATAGTATTTTTTACTATCCATCTTAATTATACTTTCCACCTGTTATGGTGAATTTGAATTTTGTTTAGATTCCGATCAACAACTATGCTATGATTTATCATTTCAAAGTCCATCGATCTCATCAGTATATTATAATACCACAAATCAGCATTTAACAATTAAAGGTGATAATTTTTATAATACCACAGAAGGACTTATTACACCTACTGTAATATTTTAATATTAATGGTTCGCCTTTAAAAGAAAGTGATATATCACCTAATGGTTATGAAGAAATGGTTTTAAACTATTCATTAATATACACTCAAGAACTAAATATTTCAATTTATATTGATTCGCTTTATACAAATAATACAATACAAATACCACCATACCCAGCCTCATATTTCACAAATGCTACAAAGTATAATGAAGGTATTGTTGAAATTACTGGTACACAACTTTTATCACCATCAGTTCAGAACGATCTTAAAATTACAATTTTCGGCAAACTATGTAACATCATTCCACCTAACAACTTAACCTATATCAAATGTACATTACCAAAAGGAGTTGATAATAATCAAAATACAATTCAAGTATGTGTAAACAATATATACAGTATAAATAACCTTATTTATGAATATTCAAAACCCGTTATTTCCAGTGTCACACAAAATGGTTCCATCTTTACAATACAAGGTAAATACCATGGTAGTTATAATGATAATTCTACACAAGTTATTGTGACATATGATAGTAATATAAAAAAAATAATATTACCATTATCCATACTAACTGATGAAACTGAATCGGTATTCAAAAGGAAAATATAAATATATAAAAATAAGTTCATTTGTGATTTACCACTATAAAAAAATATGTAAAAAAAAAATAAGGAATAAAAAATAAATTTTAAAAGATAAAAAATGCATTAATTTATTAAAAAAAAATAAATAAAATAAATAAAAAAATAAATAAATATATTAATAAAAACAAATGATGGAATACACCCGTTCCAAATTTATGATGACATTGGTATCGTTGTTAAGTTCAAAAATTTATTTACAAAAATTATATATAAAAAAAATTTTCACCCCAAATACTCCCACCGCCACTTTTTTCACACTTAAATTGGGTAATAATACAATCTATTCATCTTTTAATAATATCGAACATTTAGCAGCCAAAGATAATAAAAATAAAACAAAAACTATTGCATTAGCAATTACATTATCAATTGGATTAACTTTTCTTTTTGCTGGCAGTATATATGGTGTTTGGAGACAGCATCAAAACAAAATTTTTTTTTACTCTAAATTGTTTTTTTTTACCCTAAATTTTTTTTTTTCACCCTAAATTGTTTTTTTTTCACCCTAAATTTTTTTAATATGTAAAATAATAACAACCAATATTTTTATTAGTAACTGATTTAAAAAAAAATAAAAAAAAAAGTAAAAAAAAACATATAAAAAAATAATAAAATTATTATTATTATTATTTTTTTATATGTTTTTTTTTCTTGTTTTTTTTTTTATTTGTTTTTTAAAAGATTCAATATAATATAACACTATTTTATTATTGGATAGTTTTTAAAAAAACATGTTTAAAGAAAAAAAAAAGATAGTAGTTTTAGTGTTTTTGATTCATTTGTCAATTTGTTTTGGTTTTCGTAAGTTTTAGATTCTTTTAAATAAATTAAATTTTTTTAATATTAAAATTATAATTTAATTTTAAAAATTTTAGATATTCAATCTTCATATGGAAAAATAGTTGTCGATTTTGTAGCATTTAATGAACATGTTCCACTTAATTTAACCATTTATAAAGATCCATATCTTAAAATTCCATATTTAAATCTTATTTTTACCTGGTCTAATTTCTCCGATCCCGAGTTTTATAATTATACTTTTGACAGAATTACCTATATAGCTACTATGGATAGTAAAGATATTATGGGTCCGCAGTAACTGCTTGTGTACTTGATGGTAAAACAAATAAAACCACATGTGGCTATCGGTCATCCACAATGAATAGATGTTTGTTTCTTCCATACAATGTAACATTTTTAAATAAACCTTCAACAAAGGGTGGTGTAGTAAATGTAACTGGAGAGTACATGAGATCCGGAAACGGTGATTTGAAAGTGGCACTTTTTAAATCAGGAGAATTTTATGAAAATGTAACTGTTGCCGGTGAATATGATGACCCAAACTATAATCCAAACTTTCTTTCAGTTACTTTTCCACCTGGTTATGGTAAATTTCAAATTTGTTTAGATTCCGATGAATATCAATGCGTGGATGGGTCATTTCAAAGTCCATCGATCTCATCAGTATATTATAATTCCACAAATCAGCATTTAACAATTAAAGGTGATAATTTTTATAATACCACAAAAGGACGTGCAAGGCCTACCATAGTATTTGTATATATTAATGGTTCACTTTTAAAAGAAAGTGATATCACATCAATTGATTACGAAGAAATGGTTTTAAACTATTCAACAATTTACACTCAAGAGCTAAATATTTCAATTAATATTTATACGCTTTATACAAATAATACAATACAAATACCATCATACCCAGCCTCATATTCCACAAATGCTACAAAGTATAATGAAGGTATTGTTGAAATTACTGGTACACAACTTTTATCACCATTAGACCAAAACGATCTTAAAATTACAATTTTTGGCAAATTATGTAACTTTATTTCACCTAGCAATTTAACCTATATTAAATGTACATTACCAAAAGGAGTTGATAATAATCAAAATACAATTCAAGTGTGTGTAAACAATATATGCAGTATAAATAACCTAATTTATGAATATTCAAAACCCGTTATTTCAAGTGTCACACAAAATGGTTCTATCTTTACAATACAAGGTAAATACCATGGTAGTTATAATGATAATTCTACACAAGTTATTGTAACATATGATAGTAATATAAAGCAAATAATGTTGCCATTATCCATACAAACTGATGAAACTGAATCAGTATTCAAGATTCCATTCTTTTGTGGAAGTGCAATTGTTCAATTAGTTGTAAATGGTTTAAAATCAAATGAATATACTATTAATGCAAATTCAAATGTTGAAATTATATCGCCACCATCTACAGATTCTAAAACGCCATTAATTGTTTTACTTTCATATTATGATTGTAAATATTATAAAAGCAATTCTTTCAATCCATTATTCAAAATTCAAAACTCAAAATCAATTGGAACTAAAGTAAACAACACATACTCTTTTAATGTTATACCTGGTACTGGTACAAAACAAGCAACTATAACATTTGCAAACAAAGATGTTACAATAGAGTACTCATATGCAAAACCCAACGTTTTAAAACATAGTGTCGAATATAATGATCCAATAAATACTGTTATACTTTATGGTGTTAATTTTGGTACAAATTCATCATTGTGCAATATTACATATAATGGTATAGAAAAAGAGTGTCAAGTAATAGACCATTACCAAATTAAATTTAAAGTAGAATCAATTGAAATATCTTCAAACATATCGATTACAATTGATGGTATTATATCAGATAGTTATATAATGGAGCTTATCAAATGTAAACTTATTAATGAACAATTGTATCCTACATCATTTGGTTGTTTAGAATCAGAACCAGTTGTTAATTACTATTGTGATGGTTTAAAAACATATTCATCTAAAACTGATCCAAACAAGTTATTAAGTGCAACTTTTAACGATGAAGCTACTATGATTGATTTCAAAGGCAATAGCATATCAGTTCATATTAAAGAAGGTGTATCATCATCCACATTAAAACTCTTTTTAAATGGTATCTTTTCAAAATTAAATCAAATTAATAGAAAAGAAGGTATTGTTTACAACTCTAAAATACAATATGATGAACAACAAAGTTTAATTAATCTTGATATAACTGGATTTAACTTTGGAGAACCATACGATGTTGGTTTGCCTACATTTTATAATACAACTTTTGCAACTAAAAACTGTTCAATGTTATACCACGGTACAAAGTATAACAAAAACTGTACAATCGATATAATTACATGTCAATTAACTCTACCACATAACTTTAACAAAGATCTTATATTAGAAGATAAAGAAAGTAGTAATACAACTCTTAAGATTCCATTTACACTTAAATTAGGTAATAATACAATCTATTCGTCATTTAATAATATTGAACATATACCAGCCAAAGATAATAAGAAAAAAACAAAAACTATTGCATTAGCAACTACATTATCAATTGGATTAACTTTACTTTTTGCTTGTAGTGTATATGGTGTTTGGAGACATCATCAAAACAAAATTGAAAACACAAAAAAAGAAAAAAATTAAAAAATAATAAAAAAAATGAAATAAGAAATAATGTTCAAAAAAAAAAAATAGTAAAATAAAATGTTTTTAGAATAAAAAATTTATTTATTTATTTTGTTTATATATAGAGATTTCTGTATTATTACATGATATTATAGTTTCTTTAAAACTGCAACATGAGGATATATTTTTCAAAAAAGAAGTATAAATAGATATCACTCTTAAGTTCAAAATTTATTGCAAAAATTAAAAATAAAACTTCACCCTAAATACACCCACCCACACTTTTTTTTCACACTATAAACACTTTTTTTTATATGTGAAATTATAATTATCAAATAAATTGTTATTTTTATATTGAGCTTCATTATTTGGGAACTGATTTAAAAAAACAAATTTGTAATTATTTTTTTTTTATTAGTAATTTTTTTTTATTTTTTTTTTTTTTACTTTTTTTTTTTGTTTTTTTTAAGATACCATATTAAACAGATTTACTATTGGATAGTTTTTAAAAAAATATGTTTAAAGAAAAAAATAAAATAATAGTTTTGGTGTTATTGATTCATTTGTCAATTTGCTTTGGTTATAGTAAGTTTTAGATTCATTAAATTATTTGATTTTTTAATTATTAAAATTATTCTTTAATTTAAATATTTTAGATGTTCATTCTACATATAGAAAAGTAGTTGTTGACTTTCTTGGATTATATGATCCTGTTCCACTAAATGTTACCATTTATAAAGATCCACTTCTTAAAATTCCATATTTATTTTTTAATTATACTTTGTCTAAATTCCCCGATCCCGAGTTTTTCAATTATGTTTTTGACAGAGTTACTTTAGAAGCAACTATGGATAGTAAAAAATATTATGGGTCCGCAGCAACTGCTTGTGTAATTAATAGTGAAAAAAATAAAACCATATGTGGGTTTAGAGATTACGATGTGGCAAAATGTTTATTTTCTCCATACAATGTAACTTTTTTAAATAAACCTCCAACAAAAGGTGGCGTTGTAAATGTAACTGGAGAGTTCATGAGATTCGGAGCTGGTGATCTAAAAAAAGCATTTTTTAGATCACATGATTTTTATCAAAATGTAACTGTTGCCGGTGAATATGATGACCCAAACTATAATCCAAACTTTCTATCAATTACTTTTCCACCTGGTTATGGTAAATTTCAAATTTGTTTAGATTACTATCAAGATTATTGCTATGATTTGTCATTTCAAAGTCCATCGATTTCATCAGTATATTATAATACCACAAATCATCATCTAACTATTAAAGGTGATAATTTTTATAATACCACTCAAGGACGTATAACACCAACCGTAATTTTTGTATATATTAATGGTTCACCTTTAAAAGAAAGTGAAATCTCACCAATTGGTTTTGATGAATTGGTTTTAAACTATTCATCAATATACACTCAAGAACTAAATATTTCAATTAATATTTATAACCTTTATACAAATAATACAAATACCACCACACCCAGCCTCATATTCCACAAATGCTACAAAGTATAATGAAGGTATTGTTGAAATTACTGGTACACAACTTTTATCACCATTAGACCAGAATAATCTTAAAATTACAATTTTTGGCAAACTATGTAACATCATTCCACCTAGCAATTTAACCTATATTAAATGTATATTACCAAAAGGAGATGAAAATAATCAAAATACAATTCAAGTGTGTGTAAACAATATATGCAGTATAAATAACCTAATTTATGAATATTCAAAACCTGTTATTTCAAGTGTCACACAAAATGGTTATATCTTTACAATAGAAGGTAAATACCATGGTAGTTATAATGATAATTCTACACAAGTTATTGTAACATATGATAGTAATATAAAACAAATAATATTACCATTATCCATACAAACTGATGAAACTGAATCGGTATTCAAGATTCCATTCTTTTGTGGAAGTGCAATTGTTCAATTAGTTGTAAATGGTTTAAAATCAAATGAATATACTATTAATGCAAATTCAAATGTTGAAATTATATCACCGCCATCTACAGATTCTAAAACACCATTAATAGTTTTACTTTCATATTATGATTGTAAATATTATAAAAGTAATACTTTTAATCCAATATTCAATATTCAAAATTCAAAATCAATTGGAACTAAAGTAAATAACACATACTCTTTTAATGTTATACCTGGTACTGGTACAAAACAAGCAACTATAACATTTGCAAACAAAAATGTTACAATAGAGTACTCATATGCAAAACCAAACGTTTTAAAGCATAATATCGAATATAATGATCCAATAAATACTGTTATACTTTATGGTGTTAATTTTGGTACAAATTCATCATTGTGCAATATTACATATAATGGTATAGAAAAAGAGTGTCAAGTAATAGACCATTACCAAATTAAATTTAAAGTAGAATCAATTGAAATATCTTCAAACATATCGATTACAATTGATGGTATTATATCAGATAGTTATATAATGGAGCTTGTCAAATGTAAACTTATTAATGAACAATTGTATCCTACATCATTTGGTTGTTTAGAATCAGAACCAGTTGTTAATTACTATTGTGATGGTTTAAAAACATATTCATCTAAAACTGATCCAAACAAGTTATTAAGTGCAACTTTTAACGATGAAGCTACTATGATTGATTTCCAAGGCAATAACATATCAGTTCATATTAAAGAAGGTGTATCATCATCCATACTAAAGCTCTTTTTAAATGGTATCTTTTCAAAATCAAATCAAATTAATAGAAAAGAAAGTATTGTTTACAACTCTAAAATACAATATAATGAACAACAAAATTTAATTAATATTGATATAAATGGATTTAACTTTGGAGAACCATACGATATTGGTTTGCCTACAGTTTATAATACAAATTTTGCAACTAAAAACTGTTCAATTTTATACCATGGTACAAAGTATAACAAAAACTGTACAATCGATATAATTACATGTCAATTAACTCTACCACATAACTTTAACAAAGATCTTATATTAGAAGATAAAGAAAGTAGTAATACAACTCTTACGATTCCATTTACACTTAAATTAGGTAATAATACAATCTATTCTTCATTTAATAATATCGAATATTTAGCAGCCAAAGAAAATAACAAAAAAACAAAAACTATTGCATTAGCAACTACATTATCAATTGGATTAACTTTACTTTTTGCTGGAAGTGTATATGGTGTTTGGAGACACCATCAAAACAAAATTGAAAATACAAAAAAAGATAAAAAATAAAAAATAATAAAAAAAAATAGAAAAAATGTATAAAAATAAAAAAATAATAAAAATAATAAAAAATATTTTAAATAATAATTAAATTAATCTATTTATTTATTTTATTTATGCAGGTTACATATTTTTTTACTAATACATTAAATTATAGTTTTTATAAAAATGCAAAGTGAGGACATATTTTTAATCAAATAAAAGAATAAATAACATTGCAAATTATATTTAAAAAAAAATTTCACCCCTAAATACACCCACACACTTTTTTTCACACTAAAAACACTTTTTTTTATATGTAAAAATATAAATAATAAATTAGTATATAAAAATTGTTATTTTTTTATTGAGCTTCATTATTTGGGAACTGATTTAAAAAAATAATAACAAATTTATGTTTTATTTTTACTTGTTTTTTTATTTTTTTTTTTAACTTTTTTTTTTTTTTTTATTTGTTTATTTTATATATAAAGAAACAATTTTACTATTGGATAGTTTTAAAATATGTTTAAAGAAAAAATAGTTTTGGTGTTTTTGGTTCATTTGTCAATTTGTTTTGGTTATCGTAAGTTTTAGATTCTTTTAAATTATATTTTATGTTTTAAATATTAAAATTATAATTTTAATTTTTAATTTTAGAAATTTACACTCATTATGGAAGAGTAGATGTCGATTTTGCTGGGTTATATCAGAAAGTTCCACTTAATATGACCATTTATAAAGATCCAGATCTTAAAATTCCATATTTAACTCTTAATTATACTTGGTCTAAATTTTCTGATCCAATGTATCATAATTATACTTTTGACAGAGTTACTTTAGTAGCAACTATGGATAGTAAAAAATACTATGGGTCTGCAGCAACTGCTTGTGTAATAGATGGTCCAACAAATAAAACCATATGTGGCTATAGATCATCCACAATGAATAGATGTTTGTTATACCCACATAATGTAAAGTTTTTAAATAGTCCTCCAACAAAGGGTGGGGTTGTAAATGTAACTGGAGAATTCATGAGATTTGGAACTGGTGATTTAAAAAAGGCACGTTTTAAATCAAACGATTTTTATCAAAATGTAACTGTTGCCGGTGAATATGATGACCCAAACTATAATCCAAACTTTCTATCAATTACATTTCCACCTGGTTATGGTAAATTTCAATTATGTTTAGATTTAAATGAATATCTATGCTATGACTTGTCATTTCAAAGTCCATCGATCTCATCAGTATATTATAATACCACAAATCAGCATTTAACAATTAAAGGTGATAATTTTTATAATACCACTCAAGGACTTATAACACCTACTGTAATATTTGTATATATTAATGGTTCACCTTTAAAAGAAAGTGATATATCACCTAATGGTTATGAAGAAATGGTTTTAAACTATTCATCAATATACACTCAAGAACTAAATATTTCAATTTATATTGATACGCTTTATACAAATAATACAATACAAATCCCACCACACCCAGCCTCATATTCCACAAATGCTACAAAGTATAATGAAGGTATTGTTGAAATTACTGGTACTCAACTTTTATCACAAAAAGACCAGAACGATCTTAAAATTACAATTTTTGGCAAATTATGTAACATCATTCCACCTAGCAATTTAACCTATATCAAATGTACATTACCAAAAGGAGTTGATAATAATCAAAATACAATTCAAGTGTGTGTAAACAATATATGCAGTATAAATAACCTTATTTATGAATATTCAAAACCCGTTATTTCAAGTGTCACACAAAATGGTTCCATCTTTACAATACAAGGTAAATACCATGGTAGTTATAATGATAATTCTACACAAGTTATTGTAACATATGATGGTAATATAAAACAAATAATATTACCATTATCCATACAAACTGATGAAACTGAATCAGTATTCAAGATTCCATTCTTTTGTGGAAGTGCAATTGTTCAATTAGTTGTAAATGGTTTAAAATCAAATGAATATACTATTAATGCAAATTCAAATGTTGAAATAGTATCGCCACCATCCACAGATTCAAAAGCGCCATTAATAGTTTTACTTTCATATTATGATTGTAAATATTATAAAAGTAATTCTTTCAATCCAATATTCAAAATTCAAAATTCAAAATCAATTGGAACTAAAGTAAACAACACATACTCTTTTAATGTTATACCTGGTACTGGTACAAAACAAGCAACTATAACATTTGCAAACAAAGATGCTACAATAGAGTACTCATATGCAAAACCAAAAGTTTTAAAGCATAATGTCGAATATAATGATCCAATAAATACTGTTGTACTTTATGGTGTTAATTTTGGTACAAATTCATCATTGTGCAATATTACATATAATGGTATAGAAAAAGAGTGTCAAGTAATAGACCATTACCAAATTAAATTTAAAGTAGAATCAATTGAAATATCTTCAAACATATCGATTACAATTGATGGTATTATATCAGATAGTTATATAATGGAGCTTGTCAAATGTAAACTTATTAATGAACAATTGTATCCTACATCATTTGGTTGTTTAGAATCAGAACCAGTTGTTAATTACTATTGCGATGGTTTAAAAACATATTCATCTAAAACTGATCCAAACAAGTTATTAAGTGCAACTTTTAACAATGAAGCTACTATGATTGATTTCCAAGGCAATAACATATCAGTTCATATTAAAGAAGGTGTATCATCATCCACATTAAAGCTCTTTTTAAATGGTTTCATTTCGAAATCAAATAAAATTAATAGAAAAGAAGGTATTATTTACAACTCTAAAATACAATATGATGAACAACAAAGTTTAATTAATCTTGATATAACTGGATTTAACTTTGGAGAACCATACGATATTGGTTTGCCTACAGTTTATAATACAACTTTTGCAACTAAAAACTGTTCAATGTTATACCATGGTACAAAGTATAACAAAAACTGTACAATCGATATAATTACATGTCAATTAACTCTACCACATAACTTTAACAAAGATCTTATATTAGAAGATAAAGAAAGTAGTAATACAACTCTTAAGATTCCATTTACACTTAAATTAGGTAATAATACAATCTATTCATCATTTAATAATATCGAACATTTACCAGCCAAAGATAATAAGAAGAAAACAAAAACCATTGCATTAGCAACTACATTATCAATTGGATTAACTTTACTTTTTGCTGGTGGTGTATATGGTGTTTGGAGACACCATCAAAACAAAATTGAAAACACAAAAAAAGAAAAAAAATAAAAAAAATAAAAAAAAAAATAGAAATAAGAATTAGTGTACAAAAATAAATAAAAATTTATATACATGTAATAAAATATTTTATAAAATAAAAATCTTATTTAATTTAATTATTTATTTATTACGTTTTTTTTAAAAAATATGATTTTATAATATGATTTATATTTTTTTTTTTTTTAAAATATTATATTGTCATTTTATTATTGAAGAGGTGGGAGTAAAAGACTCTTATTAATATGGTTTTGTGAAGATTTTTCAAAGGAAAATAAAAAAAATATGATAATCAATATAATTTTATAATAAAAAAAATTTAAAAATTTAAATTCAAAAAAAAAAAAAAAAGCGCCCATATTAATTGCAAAAAAATTAATAAAAAATAAAAAATAAAATGTTTAATGAATTCCTCCAAAATGAAAAAAAAAAAAAAAAAAAAAATAAAAAAAAAAAAAAAAAACTGAAAAAAACTGAAAAAAACTTTTTTTTTTTTTCCCATATTATTTTTTGATGATTTTTGAATAAATTGGTTTTTTTTTAATTTTTTTTGCATATTAAATTTTTTTTTTTTAATAATTTTAATATTATTATTCATTGTAACATCAATGTTATTATTTCTAATCCCTAAATAATAATTAATAAAAAATTCAAATTTACATTATATTGTGTGATATCTTTTTAAAACATTATCTAAGGAATTTCCTGTTTAAATTTATATCTTAAAATATTGCTTGTCGAAAATCTTTTAATTTTAGAAAATACATTTTGAATTTTATTTTGTTGTTTAATATCTTATTTTTACCACCTACTTCAATAACACAATATCATTTTACAAACACCTGAAGGAAAGCCAATCTGCAATACCTTTCCACTTTTTGGACAACAATAAACCAATAAGGTTAAAGCTGATTTACTTTATTTACAACTATAAAATAAATTTCTAATATCTTTATTAATTGGTATGCTAAATTGTTATTTCAAACCATAAACCACCATTAAAAAAACATCAAAATAAAAAACAACAAGATATAATTCAAAAATCAATCAGGATAATTGCCAGAAAAGTATTTGCTTGAATTAAAAGATTTTCAATGACAAGCAATACTTTAAGATATAAAGTAAACAATCATACTGGGCAAATTAAAAGGAAAAGAGAAAAATTTATTTGATGGCGTTTAAATTTATATCACAAAATAGATCCTATTGTTGTTTTTGATAATTTAAAAATATTTTATTTTTCTTAATAATTTAATAAAACTGTTAAATTAATAAGGAATTTTCATATAGATAATATGAATCAATGGTATGTACAGTTGTAGTTTAGTGATTAAAAATAATTAAATAGGTTACAATGAATAATTATAAAAAAATTATTGAAAAAAAACTGTAGATACTCCAAGAATTTTAAGACATTGTTTCACCTTTGGCAAAAGATATTTTTAAAAGTTATTTTAATAATATACTTGATAATAGCAATAAAATAGAATTCATGTACCATTAAAATCATATGAGTGCAACCACAGTGGTCGTAGATGGCTCAGAATAACAAATTAGTATACCAATTGATAATGAAAAGCAATTCTTTAAGATATAATTCTAAACATTAAGGAACTTTTTATTTTGAAATATTATCAAAATATTATGATATAGTGTATATGTGCATTTTTAATTATTTGTTATTCCAGAAATTAGAAATAATAACATCGAGGACAATGAATTATTAATTAAATAGTTAAAAAAAAAAATTATTACATATAAAAAAAAAATTAAAAAAATTAAAAAAAACCCAAAAACAATCAAATAACCAAAAAATTTATATGTAAAAAAAAAAAAAAAAAATTTTGAGTTTTTTTCAGTTTTTTTTTTTTTTTTTTGTTTTTTTTTTTTTTTTTTAGTTTTTTTTTTTTTGCATTTTGGAGGAATTCATAAAAAAATAGAAAAATAAAAAAAAAAGGGCGAAAAAGAAAAAAATTATGATTTGCGTATTTGAACTGTTATTTTGGATCTATGGCAAATTTTAAAAGATAAAAAAGAGATAAAATTTTTTTTAAAAAATGGATAATGAACGATAATCGGTAAAAATGGAGATAACGATAATTTTAGAACTCTACCCATTCCCCAATTCTATGATGACGTTGGTATCGCCATTAAGTTCAACTTTTATTTCAAAAATTATATATTAAAAAAAAAATTCACCCACACACTTTTTTTCACACTAAAAACATTTTTTTTATATGTAAAATTATAATAATATTGTGAATATTTTTATTTCTACACAAAAATAGTTATTTTTTTTTATTGAGCTTATTTGGGAACTGATTTAAAAAAAACAAATTTGTTATTATTTTTTTATATTTGTTTTTTTGTTTTTTTTTTTAATTGTTTTTTAAATTACTTTTTTTTTTATTTTTTATTTTTTTATTTGTTTTTTTTTAAAGAAGATATAATTTTGAACAATTTTATTTTTGGATAATTTTTAAAAATATGTTTAAAGAAAAAAATAAAATATTAATTTTGGTGTTATTGATCCATTTGTCCATTTGCTTTGGTCTTGGTAAGTTTTAGATTTTTTAAATAAATTTTTTTTAAATATTAAATAATTTATTTAAAATTTTAGAGGTTCATTCTTCATATGGGAAAATTGTTTGTGACTATTCTGGATTAACTGATGTTGTTCCACTTAATTTAACCGTTTATAAAGATCCATATTTTAAAATTCCTTATTTAAATCTTAATTTTACTTGGTCTAAATACCCCGATCCCAGGTTTTCAAATTATATTTTTGACAGAGTTAGTTATGTAGCAACTATGGATAGTAAAAAATACTATGGATCCGCAGTAGATGCCTGTATAGTTGATGGTATAACAAATAAAACCGAATGTGGCTATCAGTCATACGGCTTAAATAGATGTTTGTTTCTTCCATATAATGTAACGTTTTTAAATAATCCTCCAACAAAGGGTGGTATTGTAAATGTAACTGGAGAGTACATGAGATTCGGAACTGGTGATTTAAAAGTGGCACTTTTTAAATCAGATGATTTTTATCAAAATGTAACTGTTGCCGGTGAATATGATGACCCAAACTATAATCCAAACTTTCTTTCAATTACATTTCCACGTGGTTACGGTAAATTTAAATTTTGTTTAGATTCCGATGAACATGAATGCTATGACTGGTCATTTCAAAGTCCATCGATCTCATCAGCATATTATAATACCACAAATCAGCATCTAACAATTAAAGGTGATAATTTTTATAATACCACAAAAGGACGTTTTAAATCTGCCATAGTATTTGTATATATTAATGGTTCTCCTTTAAAAGAAAGTGATATCACATCAATTGGTTATGAAGAAATGGTTTTAAACTATTCATCAATATACACTCAAGAGCTAAATATTTCAATTTTTATTTATAACCTTTATACAAATAATACAATACAAATACCACCATACCCAGCCTCATATTCCACAAATGCTACAAAGTATAATGAAGGTATTGTTGAAATTACTGGTACACAACTTTTATCACAAAAAGACCAGAACGATATTAAAATTACAATTTTTGGCAAATTATGTAACATCATTCCACCTAGCAATTTAACCTATATCAAATGTACATTACCAAAAGGAGTTGATAATAATCAAAATACAATTCAAGTGTGTGTAAACAATATATGCAGTATAAATAACCTAATTTATGAATATTCAAAACCTGTTATTTCAAGTGTCACACAAAATGGTTCTATCTTTACAATACAAGGTAAATACCATGGTAGTTATAATGATAATTCTACACAAGTTATTGTAACATATGATAGTAATATAAAACAAATAATATTACCATTATCCATACAAACTGATGAAACTGAATCGGTATTCAAGATTCCATTCTTTTGTGGAAGTGCAATTGTTCAATTAGTTGTAAATGGTTTAAAATCAAATGAATATACTATTAATGCAAATTCAAATGTTGAAATTATATCACCACCATCTACAGATTCTAAAACGCCATTAATAGTTTTACTTTCATTTTATGATTGTAAATATTATAAAAGTAATTCTTTTAATCCATTATTTAAAATTCAAAATTCAAAATCAATTGGAAATAAAGTAAACAACACATATTCTTTTAATGTTATACCTGGTACTGGTACAAAACAAGCAACTATAACATTTGCAAACAAAAATGTTACAATAGAGTACTCATATGCAAAACCGAAAGTTTTATTGCATAATGTCGAATATAATGATCCAATAAATACTGTTATACTTTATGGTGTTAATTTTGGTACAAATTCATCATTGTGCAATATTATATATAATGGTATAGAAAAAGAGTGTCAAGTAATAGACCATTATCAAATTAAATTTAAAGTAGAATCAATTGAAATATCTTCGAACATATCGATTACAATTGATGGTATTATATCAGATAGTTATATAATGGAGCTTGTTAAATGTAAACTTATTAATGAACAATTGTATCCTACATCATTTGGTTGTTTAGAATCAGAACCAGTTGTTAATTACTATTGTGATGGTTTAAAAACATATTCATCTAAAACTGATCCACACAAGTTATTAAGTGCAACTTTTAACGATGAAGCTACTATGATTGATTTCCAAGGCAATAACATATCAGTTCATATTAAAGAAGGTATATCATCATCCACATTAAAACTCTTTTTAAATGGTATCTTTTCAAAATCAAATCAAATTAATAGAAAAGAAGGTATTGTTTACAACTCTAAAATACAATATGATGAACAACAAAGTTTAATCAATCTTGATATAACTGGATTTAACTTTGGAGAACCATACGATGTTGGTTTGCCTACAGTTTATAATACAACTTTTGCAACTAAAAACTGTTCAATGTTATACCATGGCACAAAGTATAACAAAAACTGTACAATCGATATAATTACATGTCAACTAATTTTACCTCATAACTTTAACAAGGATCTTATATTAGAAGATAAAGAAAGTAGTAATACAACTCTTACGATTCCATTTACACTTAAATTAGGTAATAATACAATCTATTCGTCATTTAATAATATTGAACATTTAGCAGCCAAAGATAATAAGAAGAAAACAAAAACTATTGCATTAGCAACTACATTATCAATTGGATTAACTTTACTTTTTGCTGGCAGTGTATATGGTGTTTGGAGACACCATCAAAACAAAATTGAAAACACAAAAAAAGAAAAAAACCAAAAATAATAAAAAAAATAGAAATAGAAATGATAATAAAAAAAATAGTAAAAAAATAAATTATCTATTGATTTTTTGATTTTGATTTTCAATTTCTTCTTCATCTGTTGAAAAAGAAAGAACCTTTTCTGGTGCAAAGTTGTTTGTAACAGACAACCGTTAAAAGTTGGGGTATAACAATGTGTTTTATTAAGAGAATGGGCAAATTTTCAAGGGCAGATTTTGTCAAAAATTCGGTCTTTAATGATTATAATAATATATTTAAAAATGAAATTACTAAATAAAATAAATGTTTTATTTTTAATACAATTTTTAAATCAATTTTTTTAGTATTTTTAGTTTTTTTTTTTAATAATTTTTAAGGTGAATGGCCAGTTTCTTATCATGGTACAGGTAAATCGGAATCTGGTTCTATTGCAGAAGATGGTTATAATTTATCAAAAAGTAAAAGATTTCTTTTTGGAGTTGGTATTTACTCTACACCATTGATCGAATGTGCAGAAAAATATGCAAAGTCCTTTTTTAACGATGGTTACAATTATATTGTTGTATTTCAAAACCGTGTTAACCCAAAAACACTAGTAAAAATTTCAAAAGAAAAAACAAATGTCGAGGAGTATTGGATTTCACCAACAGAAAAAGATATCAGACCATATGGTATTTGTATTAAAAAAACATTAGTTTAAAAAAAAAATGTATATTTATTAAAGAAATAATTTTTCTTTATTATTTATTGTAACTATTAAAAACTCTGTTCATTTATTATTTCTTTATAATTTAAAAATATAAAAATAAAAAATATTTTAAACTCTTTTTTGGTGTTATTTTAAATATAAAATTTAATCTTTTTTTTATTATTTTATGGGTTTGAATTTTATATTTCTGAAAAAAAAAAAAAAAGAAATAAAGTTTTTTTTATCTATAAATTTTAATTTAAAGTAAGATTCATATTATATATTATTTGTTTATTTTAACGATTATGGTTAGTGGCGCTTTTATTTATTTTTTTTTTTTTTTTAAATTTTTTAAAAAATTAAATTTTTTTTTTTTTAAATTTTTTTTTTTATTATTATTTATATAAATACTTAATAAATAATAATTAAAAAATGGGACCAACAATTCATATTAATAGTAATAGTTTTGGTGGATTTAATGACGAGGAACTTTTAAAGGTTCAAGGCATTATAGAAGAGTTAAAATTAACCGAAGATATTGTTTCTGAAGAATGGGAGATTTTTCAATTAAATAAAAAGATTAACGAAAATTATATTAGACATTTAGAGGGTTTTAAAACACACTTAAAAAAGAAATCGAAACAGTTACAGCAAATAAAAACAGCACAGCAAAAAGAGTAGGTCATAAACAGACAAAATAATATAAAAATTAAAAGATTCATTATTAACACTTTTATTTAATATGACAAACATTAGTGTTATAGTTGAAGAAGATCCACAATTATTCGATGATGTAGATATAGGAGATGTAATGGATGATGCTGATATTTCAAATAAAACAGTCGTTACTTCAAATAGCCCAACCATTACTCCAACAACCACTATAGATAATAATAATAATAATAATAATAATAATAATAATAATAACAATATAGGAATAGATCCAACAGACCAAGATTTTGAATTTGATTTTGGTACTAATGCCCAAACAACAACAACAAACAGAACTTTAAAACTAAAAAATCCAGCACCATTATATAGCTATAATGAAAGAAAAAATATAGGAGGGGTGATTTTATCGTACAATGATAATCAAGTAACATTAGATGCCAATAACAAAGAAAAGAAACCAATTGAGTTCAAAGGTATAGGCGAACCATTTTATCCAATAAAGTACTATAGTGATACAATCGAACAGAGAACTAAAATTTTAAAAGATAGTGTCCAATCATTTAAGACAACACCCAACTCATTCCCAGTACCACTTGAAACTGGCGAGTCCTCTTTAGTTAGAACTGTAGGTAGAGCATGGCAATACGATTTAGAAACCCAATTACCAAAGAAATTCTTTTTATTGGGAAGTGGTAATGAACAAGCAGTAAAAGCAACAGCACCAAAAGATACAACATCATCTGTACATGCATTAGAAAACAATATTCCTGTTGATTACTGTATGTTTTCAGGTCAAATTTTAATGACAGAAGCTAAAAAAGCAGTTGGCTCAAATGTATACTACGCAAAGCAAATGTATGAACCATTACCATTACCATTCTATCCAAATGAAAGTCGTAAAGAAACTGGTGATATCACTGTTATGGTTGCATCAGGTCCATTCGATCTTTCAAAACCTGTTGTTGACTATGTACCACTTCATGATTTATGCTCGATAGTATCAGAACGTAAGCCACATTGTCTTATCTTAATGGGTCCATTCATTGATGATACCAATCACCATCTCTCCAAATACTCTGAAACTTTTACCGAAATCTTCAATAACTTAATGAAAACCATAAGTGAAAAAATACCATCTTCAACTAAAGTTTTAATTGTACCATCACTTAAAGATGTAGATCATGATTACATTTTACCACAACCACCATTTAATCCAAATATAAACTTACCATCTGTAATGTATAATTATTTTGTTAAAATTATTCCACCCAATACTAATTCTATTTATCTTTTTAATATTATAGAATATACTATTTGTACCAAACCCATTCACATTATTAATAAATGAATCTTTTTCCATTGGTTTGACTACAACCGAAATTTATCATCATATAGAATCAAAAGCAAATTTCAAAAAGTAAAAATAACATATATAATAATTTATTATCTATACTATTTACTAACTATTTTATTTATTTACAGTAAATTAACAAAAGATAAATCCCAAGATATTTGCAAATCTATAATCAACCAAAGAAACTTTTATCCATTACATCCAGCAGAAGCACCAATCAGTATGAGATATTTACAACATTTAAATTTCCATTTTACACCAGATATTTTAATCCTTTCTAAAAATACTCCAATGGCAACAGTTGTAAACGACGCTTTATGCTTGGGTGTCTCACCGTTAGTAACCAAATTTTCATCTGGCAGTTATGTTGAATTTACTGTAACCAATTCTAAAGATACTCCAATTTCAAAGAGAACTTTGGTTAATTTTAAAAATATTTAAATAAAAAAAACTATGTAATTAAAACACAATATCCTATTTCTTTTTATTAAATTTGATAAATAATTATTATTATTATTATAATAATAATTCTAAATCATTGTTTTTATTTTAATTTTAATTTTAAAATTTTATTTTTGATTTTATTAAATACTAATATTATTAATGTAGTTATTTATTTGTGATTCGTTTGTTTGATATTCTTTTGTACAAAAAAAAAAAAAAAAAAGTATTGATATTGTTTACATTAAAAATAATCTATTTGTGTATATTGCTGTTATTGCTGTTATTGCTGTTATTGTTATGATTTTAATTTTTTAATTGTGTGATAAAACCTATAAGGTGTATTTGTAAATATAAAGAGTGTGTTTAATTAAATTTTCTAAGATTTGATAATTCATCTAAAATTGCTTGGAGAGCATCTTCGTCCATTTCTTTTAAACTTGGAATTAAACTTTTAGCTTCATCAGCTGTTTCAGGACAGAGATTTGCTAAACTAGCAATTTGAAACTCTTCTAAATTTTGTTTTGATAATGCTGCTCTAACTTGTTTAATCGAGGTTTTATTTTTATATCTACTAAATTTTTCTGCATATGCTAATGTTTTATGAAAAGTTCTAAAATATTAAAATATAGTTAATATACTTTTTTTTGTTTTTTTATCCATTAGTCAATACAAATGGTACATACTGAGTAAATTCTAAACCTTCATTTTCAGATCCAAGTTTTCTATGTTCTAATAAAATTGCAACTTCAGAGTTTAATAAAAATTTAGCGTCTTTTAAATCTATAGATTCAAAAAAAGAAAAAAAAAGCTTTAGTACAATATTTACGATATTTTATTATCCAATTGCTATATTGATATATTATTATATTTGCTATATTGTTATATTTGTTATTATATTATATTGCTTTTTTAATTAAATACCTTTAGGAAATTTTAAAGTTGATAAGTCTTCTTCATCTTGAAAACCTGATCTTTTAATTAATGGATCTGTCATATTTTATTATTTTTCTATTAATAATTTATTGTTTATTTTAAACAATTCAATTAAAAATAAATGATATGAAAAAAAAAAAAAAATTTTAAAAAAATTAAAAAAAATTAAAAAAAAAATTAAAAAAAATTAAAAAAAATAAAAATAAAAAAAAATATATGAAAAAAAATAAATTAACTTGTGTGATAAATCATTTTATTTCCTTTTTTATTAATTTATTAATTTAATGATTCTAAATCTTTAATTAAATTAAAATAGACTGAACTATTTTTATTTGTTAAAAATATATAGTTATTGATATTCATTCTATAGTTTAATGTGTTTATCATAAATTCGCATAATTCGTAATGATCGTGTAGGACACATGGTATCAATAAATTATTTACTAAATCTTTTTCGCTAAATATTCTATTTTCCAATAATAAGTTTGGTTGTTTTTTATAAATTGATTTAAATATTGATAGCCACCCTCTTTTGGCTAAATTTGATAGCAATCCTAATATAAGTTTATTATTTTCATTATCATAATTATTATTATTATTATTATTATTATTATTATTAAATGATGGGGTTGTATCATTTAAAATTTTTAAAATTATTTTTTTATCGTATTTTTCTGCTATTGAATTAAATGATAGATCGAAATCGAATAAATGCTTTGATATATCCAAATTTAAAAATTTGTTTATGTCACCTGTTAAATATTGCATTTCTTTTAATTCTCTTTTTTGAATTATAATTCTCTTTCCTATTAAATTCTCTCTTTCTTTGAGTATCCAATTGAATAGTCTGACTCTGTCTGCTGATGAAAGGAATTTGAATTTATAAGGTGCGCAAAAGAAAGATGTATTGTCTATAATAAATGTAACTTGGTCTAATGTTCCTTTGACTCTTGTATCATGTAAACATTGAATGATATGTGAATCGAATATTGATCTTTTTTTATTTTCAATTATTTTTTTAATTACAGATAAGTGTATATTGTTAATTGCTGATGTTAATTCGGTAAATGTCATCACGAAATTTGGTCTTTTATTTAAATATAGCTCTAATAAGTCTCCTCTACCATTAGAAATCCAAAATTGAAAACAACAACTACTCTCGAATTCTGAAAAGAGATTGCATTGATCCAGAATATATTCTAGTGATTTTGTTGATCTAACATATTTTATTGGATTATATTTTCTATTTGACATACGGTATGATAGTTTTGAAGAGATGATTTTATGAAAGTTCAACTCGTTGTATGCAAATTCGATCAATTCTAAACTATCTGTTGCTATCAATATTAAGTTGAAAAAGAACATTGGGTTTAAAGTTCGCAAATACAAAGACCTATCAAAACAACTGTGAATGTATCTGAACATTGATTTTATATACTCCTTTTTCTTTTCAATACAAGATACATATTTGAACAAATAGCTTGGGTTCTCTATAAATTCCTCATTCTGTTTTGATATATAATTTTTCATGACACTATCTTCAAATCTTGATATTTCGTTCTCTTCCTCATTAATGTTTTCTGTATATAGCTTCCATATATCGAAATTTGCATATTGTAATGAGAATCTGCTTAATTTTTTTATTTTACACAATGCGTTAAAATCACAACCACTATTATACACAATAAGATATCTTGGGCTGATGGTAACTTGTTTCCTAACTGATAAATAAACCGTGACCAACTCTTTAATAATTTGGTTATCTACTGATGCCATTAAATCAATCGATGTATTTAATTCCTGTTTGGTGAATGTACTCAGTGATTTATTAAATTCCTCTGGTTGCAATATTGAAACATTCTTGCATTCGGATAATTCTAAGCAAACTATTAACCTATAGGCTTCAACCAAATGCTTTAATTTGAAATCAAAAGGACACTGATAAAACAAACTTGTTTTTTCTATAACTTCATTCTTTCCCAATTTACTAAAATTTAGTTTATTTATTAACCAATTTATTATTTTATAAATTTTATAATTATTTTTATTAGTCGTGGATGATAATGATTTATTTTTATTTAAATTTGAAAAAAAAATATGAACTATTGAACAATCATTATTATTATTACTATTATTATCCATGCAATTATTTAATAAACTGTAAATTAGAGTATTGTCTATTGACATATTTTGGTCATTATTACTTTCTATAATATTAATATTATTATCATTATTATTATTATTAGTATTATTATTTGAAAATAATTTATAATTTTTTAATAAAAATTTAATTGATTTAAAAAATTGAAACTTTATAGATTCTTTTAATATTTGAAATGATGGTGTATATTGTTTATCTTTGATTAATACTAATATTGGTGTGATGGTTTTACTATTTATTGCGGCAATAGCTATATTTTCTAAATTGTAAATTCTTTTTGAATAGTTTTTAAATAAATATCTGTAAAATTGGTAATCTTCCCCAATAAAGCAAAAAATTTGGTTCCATATATTAAAAGAAGTAGGTCTTTCACCAAAAACTAAAAATTGATTACTTTTAACTTTATCTTTTAACAATTCCTTTCTTCCATTATTTATCATATATGTGATATCGATTATTTGACTGTATGAAACTGATAAATATGGTTCATGTCGATTTTTTAAAAAACTAAATATTAAATTAACTAAATATTTATTTTTAAAAACACTCCAAAATAATTGCTCACTAGAATTTAGTGTATTCATTATAATTAGAGATTTTGATATACATGAATATAAAGTATGATGTAAATGGCTATGTTAAAATGAAAAAAAAAAAATGTATTTTTTTTAGATAAAAATAATAAAAAAGTAAAAAAAAAATATCTTTAAAAAATAGGAAAAAAAAAAAAGTAAATAAAAAAAAAAAATAAAACTATAGTCGGTAATTTCCCAAAAGATATCTGAATTTCCTTTATATTTAAAAGAGGAGGCAGATTCATCCAAGAAAGTAGAAATTTTCAAGTTGAATGTATTTATAAAATTAAATAAACTCTATTAAAAATTATATTTATGGTATATTTTATTTTTTTTATTTTTTTTTATTTATTTTTTTTTATCTGATCAATTTTTACATATATACAATATTTTTAATGTTTACTCTTTTTGGTTGGTCTTTGTTGAGCTTGAGAGTGTTGGGCTTGTGATTTTTTAAATTCATTTAATTCGTGCTCCATATTAAACTCTTGTGAAGAGTGTCCCTTAAATTGCTGCAAATATATAAAAAAAAGTTAATAAAATTACAAAAATAAAAATATTAATAAAATAGTGTACAAACCTCCCAAGTTTTATAATCTAATTTAACGACAGCATGCGATGGAATGGCGTCTCTGCTTTGATAATCCTTTTCTTCGGGTGGCTGTGTGAGTTCGATTGATAAATCATTTTCTTTTTTTATTCTAACATGACCATCTTTTAGTAAAAATGAAAAATAAAAAATATTTTCAACAGTTTGAGAAAAATGTTTATCTGTTACAAGATCAACAAAATCGATTCCACTTTTTTTTTTTTCTAAATATTTCTTCATACACTGTACTCTGCTACTGGTTGTTTCTGTTTCTACTTGAGATGTATCAGTTACATTTTCTGCACGTATAACTTGACCTACTGGTTGATCATCTTTCTGGTTTTTCTTTCTTTCTGCTTTCTTTTTTTCGGTGGGTGGTTCTAAATTTATAGGACCATACATAAAGTCGAATACTGGTAATGTGCTATAATGTGAAGCGAAATATTTTGAAAATTCATCCCATCCTTTTGTTGAGATATCATGAGGATTTGCATCTTCATCTTCATTTTCATTTTCATCCTCGTCATTATCTTTACTAAGTTTGGCCAATCTATCTCTAATACGTGTTAAAAATCCAATGCTATCAAATGAATTTAATGTAACTTTAAATTTCTGTGCCTGTTCTAAACCATATTGTGACGTCAATGAAAGCAATTCTGAATCTAATACTGCTTCTCTTGCTTGGTGTACATTTTTATAAAGTTGATCTGTCTTTTTAATTGTTTTTAATAAACCATCCGATGATGGAGAAATTAAATCATTCTTTGATGCTTGAACATCTTGAATTAAAGTTCTATACTCTTTTCTTAACTCTCTTCTTTCACCAACAGATTGCTGTTTTTCTTTTAATGTTCTTTTTTGTGTTTGGGACTCTGATACTAAGGTACCATTATTTGCAGTGCCTCCATTATGGGTAGTACCAACTTGATTATTATTTACCATTATTAATTTATTTATTTTCTTTTATATACCCAATCTATTCATTTATTGTTTATTTTATTTGTTTATATTCTCTTTTAATCCTTTTATAAATAAAAATATTTATAGTTAAATTAAAGATTGCGCTTTAAGTTTGAAACACAACAAAAAAAATTTTGAAAAAAAATTTTAAAAAAAATTTAAAAAAATTAATAAATAATAAAATAATAAATTTATTATTTTATTTTTATATATGTAAATTTTAAAAATATTATAATAATTTATATAAATAACCAAAAGAGATAAAAAAAAAATAATTAACGGAAATCTATAAAATGCATAAAATTAATAAAAAAAAAAATTAAAATAAATAAAATTAAAAAAAATATTTTTTTTTTTTTTTTTTTAATTTTTATTTTAAATTTCTAATTATTTTACATTATTTTATTAAAACTAATTACCTAAATAATATATTATATATATAGTTTTAAAAATGTCAGGAAATAAAGCTGCAATGACGGCATATAATGCAATGGATTATGTATTTTTCGAAAAATTATCCCAAAGAGGCAAATCATTATATATGTTTAGAAGTATAATGAGATTGGCAAATCATTGGGATAATGAAGCTCAAAAAAATGATATAAGGAATGAATGTAGAGCAACATTTCACAAAAACAAATACATTGAAGATGACGAACTTATTAATGATAAAATTGAAGAAGCAAGATCAAGAATGTTAACAGCACTCCATTATAGGTATGTAAAATAATAATAATTAAAATAATAAAATAAATAATTTTTTGACACAATATTTCTATTATTTCATAAATTAGAATTCCATATGAAAAAAAGAAATATAATATTCCAAAATATGCACTTTCAATGGCACCTGTAGATCCAAAAGATGATTCCGATATTTGTTAAACAATTAAATCTAGTCTATTAAATAAATATTCAATGTATATATAAAATTAATAAAAAAAAAAAGATATTATGTGTTTATTTTATAGTTTTTTTGTTTTCTTTATTTTTAAAAATATTTTTTAAAGTTCTTGAATTATTATTATTATAAATATATTTTTTATAAAAATTATTATTATTTTTATTATTTAATTTTAAAAAATTTTTAATTGAAAAATTTAAAATTAAAATATTATAACAATAATTTATATTATTGTTATTATTATTATTTGTAAAATTATATTTTATTATTATGATTGAACTGCAAACTTTTTTAAATGTTCTAAGAAAACATGTAAATTTACATCATCAGTGAAAACAACTTCACCACCAGTGGTATTACCACTAACATGGGTAATATTTGGATCGATAATGGCTAAAAGGAAACGAGCTTCACCACTATGTTGGTCACAAACGATATAACGTGGATATGGGAAACGTTCTTTGAGGATATGAGCAGCATCATCTCTTGGAGCTTGAAGGAGATCTCTGAAGTTTTGATGGTTTGGATCTTTATCATAACCTGCTTTTCTCCATTGAGCGATAGTTTCACCGTGGAAAATTAAAACGTGGAAGAAAGTATCCAATAAGAGGATAGAGTCATTTGAAATGGATGAAGCTGAGAGAACCTCTGGATGTGGTGGTCCTTTGAATGAGTATTTTTCAAGGGTTGGTTGAATCATAACTAATGAGTTTGATACATTTTCACGATTTAACATGAAACGATAGAAACTAGATTCATCTGGTGATGAATTGAAAACTTGAAGGAAATTACTTCTACGAAGATGGAACATAAAGTGTGGATAAATAGCAAAGTTTTGAACCAATCTAAATGAATTTGGATCATCTCTTCTATAATCTGCATATTTTGATACTAATTTAATTAACATCTTATCTAACCATCTTGTAATATCTGGTAATTCTTCAGTTTCTGCTTTAAATACTGCTAAACGTGCCATTAATACAGCTGATGTTTCTTGATCAAATCCATTTGCTAATAATGTAATATTTTGACTTGGGTCTTGAACTGCTTGAGCCCATCTAAAAAAAAAAAAAAAAAAAAAAAAAATTTATTAATATATTAATTATTATAGATATTGTTATCTTTAATTTACTTACTCTCTTCTGACTGTTGTAACACGTAAAATTTGTTTACCTAATGAATTTTGATATGATGTAATGAATTGTACTAAACCTAAATGTTCAGAAACATTTTGTTGTGATGAAATTTCAAAATAAAAGGCAAATGTTGAATTTTGATCTAATGCACAAACTTTCCAAGAGCTAGTACCACCAATACCAATTTCATTTTCGCTAACAGTTGGTGTTTTATTATTTCTTGAAGACATGTGACCAATGGCACCACAAACTTTAAGACCCATTGAAGTACAAACTTGAATTTCGGCATTGAAACCAGTTTTAAGAGCACCATCGTCACGTTTAAATATTTTTTGGAAAGATTGTTGGAACATTGGATGATCGAAACTATCGGCTAATACCATATAACCACCAGTCATTTTAACCATCTCTCTCATTTCATAGAGACCAATTTGATCGAGTGAACAAGAGAATATATCGATAGCATGACCATGTTGAACTGAACGTTCAGCAATAGATTTATAAAATTGGTAAGCTTTAGTGGTGTACTTGGCTTTACCTTTAATGATTTCTTGGTGTGAACGGATTGGTTCTTTTAATTCTTCTGAAACGATTAAACCTGGACCAATAGTAGCGGCACCACCAATGAAAGCCATAATACGAGCACCAGTATTTGGGGCAATGGTTGAAAGAAGGGCATTGGCTACAGAGAAAGCCATACCGGTGGCACGTAATGGACGTTTATCACTTGCGACTCTGCATGGGTCTTTTTGGATTTCTTCAAGAATTGAAGTTAAATGGAATTCACATTCGCTGACTGGGACAAGGAAACGCTTGCTTTGAAGATTCATAGTTTCTTGTGAGCCAAAGAATACCTTTTGCATTAAATCTGAAATCTTGAAATTACTATTGCTTGGGTTACCACGGAAAACATATGATTTTGGACATGCTGTAAAACCTAATTCATATAATTGTACCATAGAACCAAAGGTAATAAGACCAACATATGAATTCTCTGGGATCAATGATAATGACATGGTTAATGAGTCTGTAAGTGATTGTAATTCATCATCTGGTAAACAAACATCAACAACAAATAAATAAATTGGTAATGCTGTTTCTGGTGTTGGTAATTGATATTCAATAGTTGTAATATGTGGTAATAATTCTGCTGGTCTATTTACATCTGAAATACCTGCATAATGTGGTGGGAATTGATTATGTTGTAAACAAAATGGACAAACCCATGTTTTATATGGTGGTGCTATAGTACTTTAAAAATTGAATCATTATATTTAATTTTTTTGATGTTTTTTTTTTATTTGATTGTAATTTTGAATATAAATAAATAAAAAAAAAAGAAATGTTAATATTATTGATACAAACAAACGTGTTGTTATAGTTGTTTATCTTTTGTATTTATAACATACCAGAATGGATTTAAAATTGCATTACAAATACCTTTACAACGAAGTGGTGGGTATGGTACTTGTGTTGTTTCTGAACTTTGATGAAGTGGTGTATACATACAACCTAATGGAACCAAAAGATTTTTAGTTGCTTCAACTCTTGATGTTGGCCATACATTCCATGAAAATCTGACACCATCCCTATCTTCACTTGATTCGAAATTCATTTTTTATTATTATATGTAATATATATATATAGAAATATTTAAATTAAATAAATAAATAAACAATAAGATATTATTATGATAATATTATTAATTTATTAAATTATTTAATTTAATCAAAAATGAAATAAAAATAATTGATTTAAGAAAAAAAAAAAAAAAAATAAAAAAAAAACTATTGTTTTTAATTTTTAAAAGAGTGAAATTATAAAAAAAAAAAATTTAAAAAAAAAAATTTAAAAAAAAAAAATTAAAAAAAAAAAATAAAAAAAAAAAATATTGAAAAAAAAATATTTTACTTTTGAATGTATAAATGAAAAAAAAAATTTTATAAGTAAAAAAAAAGGTAATCGCTTGCAATGCTGACCTTTTATTTGTTTGACTCATAATGTATAAATAAACTTTATTTTTTTTTTTTTATTTTTTTTATTAGATTTATTTTTTGATTATTATTACAGAATGAAAAAAAAAAAAAAAAAAAATGTAAAGTAAAAACCCATAAAATCTACTTATTACATAGCAACTGAAAAAGAATGCCTATCATAGATTTTATTTCTATTACAATTAATTTTAAAATCCAAAGGGAAAGGTTAAACCTATTATCGAAAATTAATTTCAAAAAAAAAAAAACTGTGTTAAAATTTGTATTTTGGGGGTAATATATGTTATATATTAAATTATATGTTGTATTTTATAAATTTTTTAAAATATCATTTTATTTTATTTTCCCATTTATTTTTATTATTTTCAAATTGTAAAAAAAAAATATATTTAAATTTAAATATATTTTTTATTATTTTATTTGTTATAGTGATGTCACCTGGAAAATGTTTTAATAAAGATTTTTTTTTAGATTAAAACCCTCTTTGTTTAAATTTTAATAGTTAAAAAAATATTTAACCTGACACTTTAGGTATCTCTCCTTATAAAATTATTTTAAAATAAAAAATAAAATTAAAATTTTTTTTTTTTTGATTGAAAAATATATTTCTATTTTAAACTTTTTTTTAATTAATTCAATTCAAAAAAAAAAAATGTTCTATATTTTTTCCTTTTTTTATATTTTTTTGAAATTTATAAACCAAATTTTTTTTTTTTTTTTAATTTTTTTCAATTTTATAATCATGCAACGACACAATAATAATATAAATAATAGTAATATTAACAATGAAACATTATTTTGGAATGTTTTCAAAAATAAATATTTATTTTTTAAAATCTTTTCAAATTTTAAAAAAATAGATACTTATCAATATATTTTTATGATCCCAAGAATTATTGATGGGTATGGCGTAGAGGTTTTAAGAGATAAATTAAAGAGTAATAGTTTTTTAACCTTCCCAGAATCGATTAGTTATGGAGAAAGTTTAAGGTCGTTGATCAAAAAGGTGAAAAAAGAAACAAAAGAGAATAATGAATTGTATAGTCTATTGTTTAGGTATATATATCAAAAAAATATATTTTCAACAAATGCCATAAGAAAAGAGGTATTGATTGAAATAATAGATTCATCAAATCTTTTGGCAATGAAGATTTTTACAAATTTTTTTCAAAATGAAGAAGAGCAAATTAATGGAATTGTTTTATATAATTATCTGGGTTATAATACAATCACATCATATGATAGTTTTAAAATGCTTTGTTATTTAGCTCAAGCTAATATTATTTCATTATCAGATATTATTGGTGTTCAGCTTAAAACCGACCCAACTTTTAAAGAAATCAAATTGAAACAGTTAATCAAAATTATGCAGTTCTCAAAAATCGACAATGGAATATTAGAAATCTTTACAGATCAGGAACTAAACTCAAACATCAAATCTTTGTTAAAGACATCAACCAAGGATAGAAGGTCCATTCTTTTGGGGATATTAGAAATTGCCTCTGTTTTCACTGTTGATAATTTAGGTGGAAAAAACTTTATGGAAAAAGTAAATAGAACTATTTTAAAAGTAGAGCACAGAGAGGAACTTTCTTTTCATGGTGGTAATCTTTTACAACAGCTTCAATATTATATCGAAAATACAGCATCAGTAGGTGATTCAAACTATAGAAAAGCAACAATATCAATTAAAGAAATATTGATTAATGGTAATGAGGATTTCGATATTTTTGGTAGAATTGTTTCCAAAAACAAAGAACTAATGGACTCGATATTTACAAATGAAATTAACTTTAAAAAAATACTGCCATTAATTAAATCAACATTTACTTTGGACTTTTATTTTGAATACTACCAAAATTTAGCATTCATTAATAATAGTTGCCACTGGGAGTTGATAACATCCATACCGATCATTGAACAATATGAAATGTTAATGGAATCAATTGGTTTAAAGTTTAGCATTTCTGATGATGGTGTTTATAAAGAATATATTGAAAATATACCAACACTAGAAATACTTGCCAAAATAGCAAATAATTCGAATTATTACATTGAGGACTTTTTCGATCTCGAATTTTACTCAGTTGTTATAGGAAACTATATTAATAGACACAAGTTTAAACAAGTTTTATCACTTTTCCAAGAGTTTTACTCAAGACAACAGATATTTGATGGTAAATCTGCTCAAACACTTGTTCGTAACAGCAATTTTTTAAATTGGGTTTTGGATATTTCCTCGGGTATAGAAGTTGATAACAATGGTCATGTGGAATTTAAAATCAACTTGGATACATATTCAGAAAAAAAATCAGATAGAATATCATTTATTAGGATTTCTTTTTTAAAATTAGAATTACCATATTTGCTTTACACTCAGTGCAGATATAACCAAATTTTCAGATTTTTGGAAACGGGAGTAATAAGAATAACCGAGCATTTAGATTGTGAAATAGTTAGAATAGAGTTTATTGAAAAATTTATACGATTTCTTGTTGAACAAAAAGAGAAAATAATTGAATATTTATCAAATAAAGAACAACCACACAAAATAGATTCCCTCAGTTTGCAAAATTCATTCAACAAATCATCCAATTATTTAAGAAGAATCATCTCATTTCATATTTTTTACGGTAATTTAGATTTATTAATTTACATATTATCAAAATATAGTGATTCAATTTTTAAACAAGAAATAATATCAATCAATAGTTTGAAATCAGTTCTCGATTCTAAATGTAAACAACACCCAAAATATTTTGAAATTAATCAAATGTTTTTATCAAATATTAAATTAAAAAAAAAATAGAGGGAAGTAAATTTAATTTTTTTTTTAACATTCCCAAATACTTTTGTATTTTTATAAAAACTCGGCGATTTTTCTTTAAAAAAACAAAATTAAAAAAAATAAAAAAATCAATAAAATTTGCATGAATCTAGATTGGTTTTTTCCATTCCCTAATTCTCAAGAGATTCTTTTTTTTTGTTTCAAACAAAAAAAAATGAAAAAAAATTATAATGGTTTTTGATAACCAAGATAAGCAATTTCTTTAAAACCAAAAAAAAAAAAAAAAAAAAAATTGTAATGTTTTTTACTATATATTCTAAATTTTTTTTTTTTTATTATTATATAAATAAAAATACATTATAAAAATGAATATATTATTTTCTTGTATATTAATTATAATTTTCATCTTTAATATTTTATCTTTCAATTTTGCAAATAGTTCAATTTTACAATCACAAATAAGTTTAAGATATATAAACTTTAAAACTAATAATGGAATATATAAAACCAATAGTGTAAATATTTCTTTTTATTTTTATTTATTTTTTTAAAAGCTAAAATTTTAATTTTTTTCTTTTTTTCTTTTTTTCTTTTTTTTTTATTTTATTTTTTCGTTTTTCATTTTTCATTTTTCTTTTTTTTTATAAAGAGTTTTTATATTGTTGACTATGATAAACACTTAATAAAATCCAATGATTCAATAAATTGGGAATATTGTATAATAGATAATAAAAATAATAGTAAAATTAGTGTAGATTTAATATATTCACAAAATAATAATGATAATATATTAATAATAACGAAATTAAATTCATCAAGTTCAATTGTTTCAGTTTCAAATGATGGTGAAAGTTGGGTTCAAAATATATTAAGTAATATTACCTTTGATGGTATTTCACCACACCATACTATACCAAATTTATTAATTGGATGGAGTAATATTTTTTTACCATCAAAAGATAGTTGGTGTCAGTTCTATTCAAGTACCGATATGGGTATAACTTGGAACTCTATAAATAATAATTCAATAACACAGTGTAATATAGTTTGGGAAGAAAAGAAGCCAGAGTTTTATGGTATTCATAACAACGATGAAAAACTAAATCCAAAAAATAACATAGTTTATAAATATAATGTTAATAATAATAGTATGGTTCAACTATTCAATAATGCCACAGATTTAACATATACTGAAAATTTTATATATTTTAAAATAAATAGAACAGTATATTATAAATCAAGAAAAAATAATATTAAAAATGATTATGAAGGTTTTATCCCGGTGATTATCAATGAAAGAGACCCCAGTGTAATGGAGCTTTCAATTTTGGGTGATTCAATTGATTCGCTTTATATATCGGATAGCCTAATGGTTGGTAGATTTAACTTTTACGTTTTAAATACCGAAGGTTCCGTCACATTTAATGTTAACAATATTACACATAACGAAATATCTTTTGAAGAAATAAAAAGCTTTACAAACTCATTTATATTAAAAATTTATAGTTCAACACCTCCAATGGAGGTTTTCAATTTTAAATTAAATAATGTGGGAACAGAATGGTCAAGATTAGTTTCAAAAAATAGCCAAGTGGAAGATTACTTCCCAAACCCAATTAAAATGATATCTGATGCACAAATTCCAGGGTTAGTTATTATGTATGCAAATAATGATACTGTCACCAATTCAATTTACCCATCATCTCCAATAGGTGTTTTTATTTCCGACAATTTTAGCAATTGGAGTCCATTGTTAAATGAATCATATACTGATGGCCAATTGCCAATTATTAGTGTAGGTGGGTTTGGCTCGTGTATTGTAATTTCACACCATGATGGAAATCAAAGAAAACTAAGTTATACATTTGACCAAGGCAAAACCCTCAATTCTATCGAAATGGACAACGATAATATAGAAATCGTATCGATTTTCAACTCTGACTTTAATAGTTGCAAATTCCTTGTAAATGACGAAACTGACTCAACATACTCTATTGATTTAACACCTGTTCTTCCAGAGGTATGCAAAGAAGATCAATTAAATTATTTCAGTAGCTCCTGCTCGTTAGGTAAAATGACTCAATACTATACTGTTAAAAATGGTGAGGGTTGTTACTTGGATAAATCACCCATTCTATCAACAACCTCTTGCGAATGTTCTTATGAAGATTTCAAATGTGAAGACAACTACGAATTGGAATATGATCAAAATACAATAAATGACTTAACTGGTACAAATAAAACCAATTCTCAATATAAATTTGGATGCACCCCAAAATCTAATAAGAAATCATGTAAAGACGGTGAATGGTACTTTGAAACCAAAGGATATAAATTAATTCAAGGTACTCAATGTGAAGGAGGTTTATTAAATTCAACATTATCAGTACCTGAATATATGCAATGTAATAATTTCATAAACCCAGAATCAAATGAATTATCTTCATCTTCATCTTCTAAATATTTAATTAAAAATGGAATGGTTGTTTTTTCATCCATTACACTTGCTTCAACATTATCAATATCATTAATATTATTTGCAATTCATAAAAGAAAAGAAATTAAAAAAAAAATATTTAATAGATCAAATGATATAAAGAATGGAAATGAACTATTATTATTTGATGATGAAGAATATCAATTGGAAAATAAAAATAAAAATAAAAATAATAATCATAATCATAATAATAATTACATCAAAAACAATATTACAGATAATATGAATAACAATTTAAATGAAGACACATAATGAAAGTTTTTTAATTTCACTTTCAGATTTAAATAACCTTTACAAATAATAAAACAATAAAAGAATATATATTTTGTTTTAAATTTATTTTTAATTTAATTTTTTTGTATTATTTAAAATCACAATTATTTTTGTTATATTCAACAATTTAACAAAATATACAATTAATAAAGCTTATTAAGTATATATTGATGCCTTATAATATTCTTTAAATGGTTTGGCTGATTGAAACAAATTAATTCTCTTTCGCCAGTTGAAAAACATGCAAAACATGGAACTGATTAAATAGAAGGTGTGTGTTTAATGAAATTTTTTTTTTTTTTTTTTTTTTTTTTTTTTTTTTTTTTTTTTTTTTTTTTTTTTTTGATTATTATTTTTTTTCACCGAAAGACCGATTTGTTTGGGGAAAAGAAAACTACTATGAAGAAAAAAATAATTGGGGGGTAAAGATGTGAAAGCCCCCATGGATCGAGGGGACTTTTTGTGGGGGGGGGAGAAACATGTTCGCGCCAAAAAAAAAAAAAAAAAAAAATAAAAATTTTTTTTTAAATTTTTTTTTAAATAAATTTTTTTGGTTTTTTAAAAAACACAAATTTTTTTTTTTTTTTTTCCCATTTTCCCAAAATTCCCATTTTAAAAGGTTTTTAGGGGAAATTGGGGCCCCTTAAAATTTTTTTAAAGGGGGGGGGGGGGGGAAAAAAAAAATTTTTTTTTTTTCCCCGGGGGAAAACCCCCCAAACCGGGGGGGGGTTTAAAAGGGGGGGGGGGGGTAAAAAAAAATTTTTTTTTTTTTTTTTTTTTTTTTTTTTTTTTTTTTTTTTTTTTTTTTTTTTTTTTTTTTTTTTTTTTTATTTCCATATAGTTTTTTTTATTTGATAAAATAAATATTTATATAAATATTATAATTTTGGTTTAAAAATTTTAATATCTATACTAAATAAATGTTATCATTATTTTGGGATGTAAAAACTTATAAATTCAAAAAAAAAATAAAAAAAATATTTCTAATTTTTTTTATTTTTTTTTTTAAATTTTTCATTTTAAAAACACACAAATTTAAATTAATAAAAAAAAAAACTTTTTATTTTTATTTTTTTAAATTTAATTTACACACCCAATTTGTTTTATTAAAACATTTACACACATAATAATAAATTAACTGATTATAAAGAAATATTAATATTAATATATAATAAATTTATTTTTTGTTTAATTATAATCAATAATAAAAATAATAATAATCACATAAACCATTTGTTCTAAACGAATAATAGTTTAGTTTTTTTACTCATCACCAAAAATAAATAAATAAAATAAAATAAAATAAAGTTTTAAATATAAATATAATATAAATATAAAAATGCAAAAAGCTATTAAATATTTACCAGCTTTAGCAGGTATTTTGGTATGTTTTAAATTTATCTTATGATGACAATAATAATGACGATGGCTAACCTCTATTTATAATGATTGTATTAATTATAGTTTGGAGTTGCATGGTTCTTTTGGATAGATGGCCATGTTTATGAAAATACATATAATAGAAGACATCCAGATGCTGAGGGACCACGTATTCAATGGGTATTTTATTTACCAGGTATTTTTTCAACAGTTGGCATGGTTATGGCAAATATTGTAGATTTATCAGCATTATCTAATGGATCATTTTTAGAAGATGGCGGTGCAACTAAAGTTCGTATTTGGTTATTTGTTAGTTTTGCCATTAATTTTGGTTGTATTGCCGCTGCAGTTTGGATTATGGCCGCTCTCTTTATGCCACCACACAATTCAATTTCTTCTGCTCAATGGCCTGGTATTGCAATTACAGTTCAAAATGTTTTAATTTTTATAAGTTCACTTTTATTGGTATATAAAAGATCACGTAATGATGATGAATTCCAATCATTTTAAATAATTAAACAACTGCCTTTAAATATACATATACACTTTTACCATATACATATTTTAATGTTTAAAATAGTAGTTTTAATAAAATAAAAATAAAAATAAAAATAAAAATAAAACAAAAATAAAAATAAAAATAACAACATAATGTTATTGATTGTAAAGATTATACATGAATATTTTTTTTTTTCTTTAATTTTTTATTATTTATAGTATAACAATTTTATTCGTCTTGGCTATCGGCATCTTGCTCCTCTTCATTTTCTTTATCATCATTATCATTATCATTATCATCGTTATCTTGGCTATTGTCGCTAGTATCTCTTTCTTTTGTTAACTTATCACATAATGATAGCAATTGGCAAATTTCGTCAGTTGTTAAATCACCTTTATAATCTTTGAGATCATCTCTTGATTTTGATTGACCTATTTTAACTTGAGCTTTTAACTTGTCTATGGCTGCTGCGGTGGAACCAATGATGTTTTTAATTGAGACACTATCTTTACCGGCCAATGCTAATTTAACGGTCATGTAGTGTTTACCTTTTTTAACTTTATCTGGTAATCTTAAGTAACGGTAGTCTCCGCCAATAAAATACTCTTGACCTTTTTTATAACGCTTAAAAGTTAAACCTACTCTACCGCATGATAAAATATTATTTGGTGCTACTACTTTTGGTAATACGAGTTTTGGTTGCTCTTTTTCTACCTCTGAACGTAATTTCATATAAAGTAATGGATTCTCTGATTGGAATATAGATCTACCATTATCTTGTACAAATGATGCGACATCTTTTGAGTTTGTTAATTTTAAAATATTATCGACACAAAGTGATGGACCATCGATGATTGATTGATCGCTCAATTTTTGAACTGATCTAATTAAAATACCACCATATGCACCATTGTCGTCTTTACTTGCGCCATCACCACTTCCACAACCAAAAGTAATATCCATACCCTTAAAAGAACCGCCTTTATATCCTGCACCATTTGTTCTATGGAAATACCAAGTGCCTCTTTCTCGTTGCATTGAGTCTCCGTGGGTAAATTCATCGACGTGATTGTACCCATTAAAATAAAATTCAATTTCTACCAACATATGCTCTTTGCCATTAATAAAAATTACAACATTATTTAATAACTGATATGCAATCTCTGATAACCATTCTTTAACTTCATTGGCTTTTAAATTCTTTATATTGTCATGCGAAAGTATCTTGAAAATTTCTTCTTTACTTTTGTCATCGGCTTTACCACTTGAATTAGTTTCTGTTTTTTTAACTTTATTATTGGTATCTGTGGTTGATTCGGTTTCAGTGTCGCTTCCACTGTTATTTTCTTCGATTTTATCACTTTTTCTTTTTAATGCCATTATTTTAAAAACTATAAAAAATTTAAAAATAAAAAAAAGTTTTTTTTTAAATATTTAAAAATAAAAAAAAGTTTTTTTTTAAATATTTAAAAAAAAAACTTTTTGAATTTTTTAAAAATATCTGTATTTCCAATCATTTTAGTTTCATACTTTTTTTTTTTTACAGAAATTACAATATTATATAAATAAATAAATTTCTTCAAAAAAAAAAAAAAAAAAAAAATAATAAAAGTGTGTGGGTGGGTTACAATATATAAAATAACACCCATGCCGCGAATTTTTTTACCCCTTAAATAATCGTTGTTAAATTATTCGATTTTTGTATTATGAAAAGTTGTTGTTGTTGGGGGGGATTGTGTAGTAAAAAAACAAATTATTCACACAAAAATATTATTCTATTTTTTTTTCAAAAAAAAAAGAAAATTATATAAAAAATAATTTACAATGTTTTTTATTTATATTTTTTTTTTTTAATAGAATAATACATATGAATTTATTCTTATTAATTAATAATCATCATAATAAAATATATAATAACAAAGTTACGAAAATATGTTTATAAAAAGTAGATATAATAAAATATCGAGTTTATTAATAATATTGTTCTATTTTATAATAAATACCGAGTGTCAGCAACTAAATAAAGATGATATAGACAACTATTTTAAAAACTATCCATTTGGTAAATATTTTAATTTTATATTTATTGTGTTAAAAAAAAAAAAAAAAAAGTATTATTAAAATATAAATTTTTTTTTTAAAGGTGTTAGATCGAATAATGGGGTGTATGTTAAATATGCACAAGTACCAGCAAATGGTACTATATTGGGGTTTTCTAAAAATGGTAGTGCTGATTTTCCACCAATTGATTTACTACCTGGTTCTTATTTAAATAATTTTACAGGAATTGTAGAGGATCATTTAGGCCCAGATGGTAGACCAGTTTATACTGGTGGTGATTCGCCATACATTGTAAATGATCCAAACACTGGTCAAAACGTTACATTGGTTCATAATTCAACTACTTTTTATGAATGGTAAGTTATTACAGGTATTTTTTTTTTTTTTTAAAAAAAACTATTAAATTAAAATATATTTTTTTTAGGTTTCACAGTGTTCAATGTGTAAACTATCCAACCAATGCATCTTTATATTTAGCTCAGAACCCTCAAGAGTTTGTATTAATACCACAAAACTATTCTTACCCCTATGGAACAAAACAAGATCCCTTACCCTATTTCCAAAACCCAACATATCAAATAAGTGTATTGGCACAAGGTAGAAATAATGTTGATCCCCACATTTCGATTATTACAAATTGGCTTTGTTTTTTTTTTATCGATAATGTAAAGCAAACAGGTGTCTTTTTGGAGGGTCCCGGTAATGAAGATGTTTATTATTATGACTATAGCGAGCCATTCGTAGAAGGAAAATCATTAAAAATTGATTTATTCTGTGCATCAAGATACACTGGTGATAATGGTATTATAGATATCAGTTTTTATAATACATTCCAAAACTTTACATGTGGTAATCTTGGTAAGTAACCATTACTAAAAGCTTTATTGTAAATATCATATACAACTCTAACACTGTATTTAATTTAGATTCATGTGGAGTATGTGGATTTAATGAAACATGCGGTTGCAATAAAGGACCAATTTCAGGGTGTTCACGTGCAAATGAAGAGTGCCAAACTTGCAGCTATATTAATGATTGTGGTTATGTTCAAAATGACAGTCCATTGTGCCAAACTGTAATGTGTACAAATAATCAAACATGTGTAATAGAACCAATTTCATGCGATGATGGTAATCCATGCACTGAAGATTCTTGCTCTAATCTTGAAGGTTGCGTCAATGAACTATGTCCATCTGATAACCTATGTTTAAACGGCACTTGCATCAGCGGTGAATGTAAATATGATAATATTTGCCCAACCCCCTCACCAACACCTTTTATAATCACACCAACCCCCACTCCACGTACAGTAACACCATGTCAATTCTACAAATGTGGATCCAACCAAATATGTGTAGAAGATTTTTCATCAGATCAAATTAATGGTGTCCCCAAATGTGTCCATAAAAAAAGAGACTGCATGGATTGCAATGATTTAGACTGTCCATTTCAAAACCTGTATTGCAAATATATTGAAATTTACGAAAGCAATAATTGTAATGGTCACTGCAAAGATAAATATTCATGTTGTAATTACCAACCTGTTTGTTTTTAAAACAATACAAAAAATTAAAAAAAAAAAAAAAAAAAATTAAAAAATAAAATTCTTGATTACGCAGTATAATCATTGGATTAAGATATAAACATTTAATAATCAATTTGGAAATGTTTTTTTTTTTTTTTTTTTTTTTTAATTTTTTTAAAAATTCAATTTTTAAAACTCATTTTTATTTATTAATATAAATATTTAATATATTATTATTTTTATTATTTTTTCATTTTTTTTTAATTTTTTTTTAATTTTTTTTTAATTTTTTCAAATTTTTTTTTTTTTTCATTTTTTTTTATTTTTAAATTTTTAACTCTCGAATTAAAAAATTATATTTTTTTATAAACCACACACATTTATATCATATTATTTAAACAAATAAAATAAATCATGGTACATCTATTATCAAACACTTATTACTTTTATTATATGCCAAAAAGACCCAAGACCATGAATGATTATTTAGCAGGTCTTCAATGTATATCTGGTCCAATTAAAACTGTAAGTTTTAAAACAATATAAGATAACAAATAATTTAAAAAAAAAAAAAAAAAAAGAAAAAGAAAAAGAAAAAAAAAGAAAGAAAGAAAAGAAAAGAAAAGAAAAGAAAAGAAAAGAAAAGAAAAGAAAAGAAAAGAAAAGAAAAGAAAAAAAGAAAAACCATTATAGCTATAAAAAAAATATCAATAATTTAATAATGCAATTAATTGTTTTACTAATTAATAATAAACATATAATAATTAAAATAATTAAAATAATAAAAATTAAAATATAATTTTAGGTTGAAGATTTTTGGAGTTATTATAGCCATATGATCAGACCAGTTGATGAATTCTCACAATTAAGTGATATTTATTTTTTTAAAGAAGGTATTAAACCAATTTGGGAAGATGCAGAAAATAGAGACGGCGGTAAATTTGTTGTAAAAACAAGAAGGAATTACACATCAAAATGGTGGGAAGATTTGGTAACTATCTTTTATTTATTTATTTATAATGAAGATCATTATATTAACGGTTTTTTTTTTTTTGATTGTTTCATAAAAATTTTTTTTTTTTTTTTTTAATTTTTTTTTTGTTGATCGTCCATCTTGGTTCTCGTCTTTTTTTCAAATAATAATATTTTACATCATGTAATTTTTAAAATACAGTTATTAGCATTTATTGGAGAACAAGTAGATGATGTTGAAAATATTAATGGAATCGTTATTTCATTTAGAGCAAATGATAATAATTTAATTGGTATTTGGAATAAAAATAGCGAAGATAATGAAAAATTATTGTAAGTACAATAGAACAACACCTACAACAGAATAACCACAGCAGTAGCAGTAACAATAACAACAATATAGATTTGGAATATTAATTAATTAATTATTTTATATTATAGGGTCAGTTTAAAGCATTTATTTAAAATAGATAAATTGGATTACAAACCACATTTTGGTAGAATCTTAAAAGAGGAAGTTTTTCAAAATAATAAAAATGAAAATAATAGTAATAGTGGATCAATGGGTAGCAGTGGTTTATTAAGTGACAGCGGAAATGTTTCACTCGATGCTCCATCTCCAGATACTTTTGATTTCATGAAACCTTCTTCACTTAATAGTATTTCTTCACCAACAAACACACCATTCCAACCTTATCTTCCATTTGGACAACCATCATCATCTTCATCATCATCGTCATCATCACAACCATCACAACCACACAGTTTCTTTAGTTTTAATAATTTGGATTTTAACATAACAAAGCAAAATTAAATAATTTAAAAAAAATTAACTTATAGTATTCATAATAGATATAGCAACAATATAGCACAGGTTTCAAATAATAAATAATAAATAAATAATAAATAATTAATAATAATATATGATAAATTTTTTTATCTATCAACACAAAAACAAAACTTTATAATCTTCATAATCTATTATAATACACAAATCTTTTTTATAATAATAACAATACTAATTATAGAATTTGTAAATAAATAAAATAAATCAATAAATCAATTTAATTATTATTCTAAAAACATAATTTATTTTCATACTATTTTTTTTTTTTTTTTTTTTTTTGAACATTATCTCTTTTTTCTATTTTTTTTTTATTTTTAGTTTTTTTCTTTTTTTGTGTTTTCAATTTTGTTTTGATTGTGTCTTCAAACACCATATACACTGCCAGCAAAAAGCAAAGTTAATCCAATTTTTTTTTATTATTTTTTAATTTTTTTCTTTTTTTGTTTTATCAATTTTGTTTTGATGGTGTCTCCAAACACCATATACACTACCAGCAAAAAGTAAAGTTAATCCAATTGATAATGTAGTTGCTAATGCAATAGTTTTTGTTTTTTTCTTGTTATCTTTGGCTGGTATATGTTCGATATTATTAAATGATGAATAGATTGTATTATTACCTAATTTAAGTGTAAATGGAATCTTAAGAGTTGTATTACTACTTTCTTTATCTTCTAATATAAGATCTTTGTTAAAGTTATTTTGTAGAGTTAATTGACATGTAATTATATCAATTGTACAGTTTTTGTTATACTTTGTACCATGGTATAACATTGAACAGTTTTTAGTTGCAAAAGTTGTATTATAAACTGTAGGCAAACCAATATCGTATGGTTCTCCAAAGTTAAATCCAGTTATATCAAGATTGATTAAACTTTGTTGTTCATCATATTGTATTTTAGAGTTGTAAACAATACCTTCTTTTCTATTAATTTGATTTGATTTTGAAAAGATACCATTTAAAAAGAGCTTTAATGTGGATGATGATACACCTTCTTTAATATGAACTGATATGTTATTGCCTTGGAAATCAATCATAGTAGCTTCATCGTTAAAAGTTACACTTAATAACTTGTTTGGATCAGTTTTAGAAGAGTATGTTTTTAAACCATCACAAAAGTAATTAACAACTGGTTCTGATTCTAAACAACCAAATGATGTAGGATACAATTGTTCATTAATAAGTTTACATTTGACAAGCCCCATTATATAACTATCTGATATAATACCATCAATTGTAATCGATATGTTTGAAGATATTTCAATTGATTCTACTTTAAATTTAATTTGATAATGGTCTATTGCTTGACACTCTTTTTCTATACCATTATATGTAATATTGCACAATGATGAATTTGTACCAAAATTAGCACCATAAAGCACAACAGTATTTATTGGATCATTATATTCGACACTATGTTTTAAAACTTTAGGTTTTGCATATGAGTACTCTACTGTGACATTTTTGTTTGCAAATGTTATAGTTGCTTGTTTTGTACCAGTACCAGGTATAACATTAAAAGAGTATGTGTTGTTTACTTTAGTTCCAATTGATTTTGAATTTTGAATTTTAAAAAATGGATTTAAAGTTTTACTTTTATAATATTTACAATCATAATATGTAAGTAAAACTATTAATGGCGTTTTAGAATCTGTAGATGGCGGTGATATAATTTCAACATTTGAATTTGCATTAATAGTATATTCATTTGATTTTAAACCATTTACAACTAACTGAACAATTGAACTTCCACAAAAGAATGGAATCTTGAATACCGATTCAGTTTCATCAGTTTGTATGGATAATGGTAATATTACTTGCTTTATATTACCATCATATGTTACAATAACTTGTGTAGAATTATCATTATAACTACCATGGTATTTACCTTGTATTGTAAAGATGGAACCATTTTGTGTGACACTGGAAATAATGGGTTGTGCATATTTATAAATTAGGTTATTTATACTGCATATATTATTTACACACACTTGAATTGTATTTTGATTATTATCAACTCCTTTTGGTAATCTACATTTAATATAGGTTAAATTGCTAGGTGGAATAAAGTTACATAATTTGCCGAAAATTGTAATTTTAAGATCGTTCTGGTCTGATGGTGATAAAAGTTGAGTACCAGTAATTTCAACAATACCTTCATTATACTTTGTAGCATTTGTGAAATATGAGGCTGGGTATGGTGGGATTTGTATTGTATTATTTGTATAAAGCGTATTAATATAAATTGAAATATTTAATTCCTGGGTATATATAGATGAATAGTTTAATACCATTTCTTCGTAATCAATTCTTTTGATATCATTTTTTTCTAAAAGTGAGTTATTAATATATACAAATACAATAGGACCTGTATACCCTTTAGTAGAATTATAAAAATTATCACCTTTAATTGTAAGCTGGTGATTTGTGGTATTATAATATACTGATGAGATCGATGGATTTTGATATGAAATTTTATGACACCAATATTCATAAATATCAAAGCAAAGTTCTAATTTCCCATAACCAGGTGGAAAAGTAATTGATAGAAAGTTTGGGTCATAGTTCGGGTCATCATATTCACCTGCAACCGGTACTTCTTCTTGTATATCATAACCTTTTAAATGAGCTAATTTCAAATCACCAGTTCCAACTCTCATGTACTCGCCAGTAACATTTACAACCCCACCCTTTGTTGGAGGATAGTTTAAAAACTTCACATTAGATGGAGGAAACATACATCTACTTATTATGCTGCCAGTATAGCCACATGTAGTTATGTTTGTTTTACCATCAATTAAACAAGCTACTGCTGTGGACCCATAGTATTTTTTACTATCCATGGTTGCTACTATACTAACTCTCTGAAAAGTATAATTATAATCAGGTTTGTAGTAGTTGGTCCAAGTATAATTAAAAAATAAATATGGAATTTTGAGTTGTGGATCTTTATAAAGGGTTGCATTGAGTGGAACACGGTCATATTTGGCAATAAAATCAACATCTACTCTCCCATATGAAGAACTAACATCTAAAATTTTAAATAAAATTAATATTAAAATTAAATATTTAATTCATAAGAATTTAAAACTTAAAAAGACCAAAAAAACTTGCCAAATGAACCAAAAACACAAAAATTATTATTTTTATATTTTTTTTTAACATATTTATTTTAAAACTGAACAATAGAAAATAGTTTATATTGTATGTTCTATTAATAAAAAAAAAAAAAAAAAAAAGTATAAAAAAACAAATAAAATAATAACAAATTTGTTTTTTTTTAAATCAGTTCCCAAATAATGAAGCTCAATAAAAAAATAACAATTTTTATATACAAATAATAATATTGATAATTATAATTTTACATATAAAAAAAAGTGTTTTTAGTGTGAAAAAAAAGTGTGAGTGGGTGTATTTAGGGTGAAATTTTTTAAATATAATTTTTGCAAAAAAATTTAAATTAAAAAGTGATATCTATTTTGAATAATATATCCTCACTTTGCAGTTTTAAAGAAACTATAAAATCGTGAAATAAAACAGAAATCTCTAACATATAAATAAAATAAATAAATAAATTATATTATTTTTTATTCTAAAAAAATTTTATTTTACTATTTTTTTTTTATTATTTCTTTTTTCTATTTTTTATTATTTTTAATTTTTTTCTTTTTTTGTGTTTTCAATTTTGTTTTGATGGTGTCTCCAAACACCATATACACTGCCAGCAAAAAGTAAAGTTAATCCAATTGATAATGTAGTTGCTAATGCAATGGTTTTTGTTTTTTTCTTATTATCTTTGGCTGCTAAATGTTCAATATTATTAAATGACGAATAGATTATATTATTACCTAATTTAAGTGTAAATGGAATCGTAAGAGTTGTATTACTACTTTCTTTATCTTCTAATATAAGATCTTTGTTAAATATATGTGGTAGAGTTAATTGACATGTAATTATATCGATTGTACAGTTTTTGTTATACTTTGTACCATGGTATAACATTGAACAGTTTTTAGTTGCAAAATTTGTATTATAAACTGTAGGCAAACCAATATCGTATGGTTCTCCAAAGTTAAATCCAGTTATATCAAGATTAATTAAACTTTGTTGTTCATCATATTGTATTTTAGAGTTGTAAACAATACCTTCTTTTCTATTAATTTTATTTGATTTTGAAAAGATACCATTTAAAAAGAGCTTTAATGTGGATGATGATACACCTTCTTTAATATGAACTGATATGTTATTGCCTTGGAAATCAATCATAGTAGCTTCATCGTTAAAAGTTGCACTTAATAACTTGTGTGGATCAGTTTTAGAAAAATATGTTTTTAAACCATCACAATAGTAATTAACAACTGGTTCTGATTCTAAACAACCAAATGATGTAGGATACAATTGTTCATTAATAAGTTTACATTTGACAAGCTCCATTATATAACTATCTGATATAATATCATCAATTGTAATCGATATGTTTGAAGATATTTCAATTGATTCTACTTTAAATTTAATTTGGTAATGATCTATTACTTGACACTCTTTTTCTATACCATTATATGTAATATTGCACAATGATGAATTTGTACCAAAATTAACACCATAAAGCACAACAGTATTTATTGGATCATTATATTCGACATTATTCTTTAAAACTTTTGGTTTTGCATATGAGTAATCTATTGTAACATTTTTATTTGCAAATTTTATAGTTGCTTGTTTTGTACCAGTACCAGGTATAACATTAAAAGAGTATGTGTTGTTTACTTTAGTTCCGATTGATTTTGAATTTTGAATTTTGAATAATGGATTGAAAGAATTGCTTTTATAATATTTACAATCATAATATGAAAGTAAAACTATTAATGGCGTTTTAGAATCTGTAGATGGTGGCGATATAATTTCAACATTTGAATTTGCATTAATAGTATATTCATTTGATTTTAAACCATTTACAACTAATTGAACAATTGCACTCCCACAAAAGAATGGAATCTTGAATACCGATTCAGTTTCATCAGTTTGTATGGATAATGGTAATATTATTAGTTTAATATTACCATCATATGTTACAATAACTTGTGTAGAATTATCATTATAACTACCATGGTATTTACCTTGTATTGTAAAGATGGAACCATTTTGTGTGACACTTGAAATAACAGGTTTTGCATATTCATAAATTAGGTTATTTATACTGCATATATTATTTACACACACTTGAATTGTATTTTGATTATTATCAACTCCTTTTGGTAATATACATTTTATAAAGGTTAAATTGCTAGGTGGAATAAAGTTACATAATTTGCCGAAAATTGTGATATTAAGATCGTTTTGGTCTTTTCGTGATAAAAGTTGTGTACCAGTAATTTCAACAATACCTTCATTATACTTTGTAGCATTTGTGGAATATGAGGCTGGGTATGGTGGTATTTGTATTGTATTATTTGTATAAAGCGAATCAATATTAATTGAAATATTTAGTTCTTGAGTGTATATTGATGAATAGCTTAATACCATTTCTTCATAACCAATTGATGTGATATCACTTTCTTTTAAAGATGAACCATTTATATATACATATACTATGGTTCTCTCTCTAACTCCATATTTGGAATTATAAAAATTATCACCTTTAATTGTCAGATGGTTATTTGTGGTATTATAATATACTGATGAGATCAATGGACTTTGAAATGACAAGTCATAGCAATTTTGTTCATCGGAATCTAAACAAAATTTAAATTTACCATAACCTGGTGGAAAAGTAATTGATAGAAAGTTTGGATTATAGTTTGGATCATCATATTCACCAGCAACAGTTACATTTTGATAAAAATCTTTTGATTTAAAAAGTGCCACTTTTAAATCATTAATTCCCAATCTCATGAACTCTCCAGTTACATTAATAACCCCACCCTTTGTTGGAGGTTTATTTAAAAATGTTACATTGTATGGAGGAAACAAACATCTTTTTATGGAGTATGCCTGAAAGCCACATTCGGTTTTATTTGTTGTACCATCAAGTACACAAGCACTTGCTGCGGACCCATAGTATTTTTTACTATCCATAGTTGCTACATAGGTAATTCTGTCAAAAATATAATTATGAAACTCGGGATCGGAGAATTTAGACCAGGTAAAATTAAGATTTAAATATGGAATTTTTAAATATGGATCTTTATAAATGGTTATATTAAGTGGAACACGGTCATATAATCCAGTAAAATCAACAACTATTTTTCCATATGAAGTTTTAACATCTAAAAAATTTAATTTTAATATTTAAAAAAATAAAATATAATTTATAAAAATCTAAAACTTACGATAACCAAAGCAAATTGACAAATGAATCAAAAACACCAAAATTACTATTTTATTTTTATCTTTAAACATTTAAAAAACTATCCAATAGTAAAATTTTTTAATATTTTATCTTTATTAAAAAAAACATGTAAAAAAAAACCAAATAAAAAAAACAAATATAAAAAAACAATTAAAAAAAAAAAAAAAAAATAATAACTTATTTGTTTTATTTTAAATCTATTCCCAAATAATGAAGCTCAATTAAAAAAAAATTTATATACTAATTAAGATATATATTATTAATAAAAACATAATTAGTATATAAATTTTTTTTTTTTAATTGATAATTATATTTTATATATAAAAAAAAAGTGTGAAAAAAAGTTTTTTTAGTGTGAAAAAAAAGTGTGGGTGGGTGAATTTTTTTTTTTAATATATAATTATTGAATAAAATTTGAACTTAACTGTGATACCAATATCATCATATATTTGGAATGGGTGTTTGTAAACTTTCCCATTTGTTATTATTAATAATATATTTATTTTTTTATATATACATTTTTTTTTTTACATTTCCACCATCTTTAGATGAAACTGATGTGATTCCTTCAATTTTTGGTTCATTTGTAATTTGAAAATTTACTTCTTTTATATCAGAATCACATATTTCCAAAACGATATCCCACATGCCACAATATAATATTTGAGGAATTTCAAAATAGGAGATTTCTTGTTGCAATTTTGTATAGTTGTTAAATTCTTTAGTTGAAATGGTGTTCTTGGAATCAAAAGGGCCAGTAATTTTTAATTTTGGTTTATAAATATTTGAACCAACAAGTTTAATTTTATTATTTGATCCTTTTTAATTTTGGTTTTTTATAACTACCAAAAAAAGGGGTGTATTCATATACTATTTTGATTTCGCCGCACCCTGGAGGGAAATTTTCAACAACATATTTCTTTATAGGGTGCCCCGTTAGTTTCTGGTATTGAATATAATGTAAGTGGATTGGTAACACTATTTGGTTATAATTTTGGAAGAGATCTAAACAAAATATCCATAGTATCTGGAGAAACACAAATTAAAATTTCAAATGTTAACGATTCGTGTTTGCAATTTATGACACCCAAATTACTTCATGGACTTCACTATTTGGATATAACTGTTGGAATACCAGATCATCAAAATATACAGAAACAATATGAATTTGCTGTTAAACCCGTAATTTTAAAAATAAACTCAATCCCTATAAGTGGAGGTGAAGTTACAATATATGGCAACTACCTTAGCCCAAAAGCTGCTATTTCATTTAGATCTCCAAGAGGAACTCCATCCGGTATTCCATGTAACAACATAACCATATATGAAGATAATACAATATTAAAATGTAATGTTACCGGTATTTCAGGTCAAGAAATTAAACTAGTTGGTATTGGTGAAAGAAGAATCACATCAGGACACAATCATGAAATTTTCATGAGCATTAAAGGTAGAAATGCAATAAATCCAGACAATATTACATTTTCATTTTACCTACCAACTGTTTATGGATCTCCCGGTAAAAATGATAATCGTTTAATAACAATTTTTGGTGATAATTTCAATAGAATTGGTCTAAGGAACAATGAAGATGGCCTAGCGTACTAAAGGGTTTTGAAGTCATTACCTGTTTACTAAATTCTGTGGATAAAAATCAAAAAACTGAATATCAAAATAAAACTTTTGATATTTATGTTACAGTTGATGGTCAAACTGCAGTATTAAAAAACAACTTTACATAAAACTGTAATTATAATATTATATAAAAAAGTATATTTATTGAACAACTTATTAGTTTTTTATTTCTATTTAGTTAAAGAGGAACCCCCTGTTCCCAAGGAATCTAAAAAATTATCAATAACAATTCCTGCAACGGTTATAATCAGCTTTAACCTTATTGGTTTATTATTGTCCAAAAAGTGGAAAGGTATTGCAGATGGCTTTCCTTCAGGTGTTTGTAAAATGATATTGTGTTATTTAAGTAGGTGGTAAAAATAAGATATTAAACAACAAAATAAAATCGGGTTATAATACAGAAATATCTAACATATAAATATAATAAATAAATAAATTATATTATTTTTTATTCTAAAAAAATTTTATTTTACTATTTTTTTTTTTTTATAATTTCTTTTTTCTATTTTTTATTATTTTTAATTTTTTTCTTTTTTTGTGTTTTCAATTTTGTTTTGATGGTGTCTCCAAACACCATATACACTACCAGCAAAAAGTAAAGTTAACCCAATTGATAATGTAGTTGCTAATGCAATGGTTTTTGTTTTTTTCTTATTATCTTTGGCTGGTATATGTTCGATATTATTAAATGACGAATAGATTATATTATTACCTAATTTAAGTGTAAATGGAATCGTAAGAGTTGTATTACTACTTTCTTTATCTTCTAATATAAGATCTTTGTTAAATATATGTGGTAGAGTTAATTGACATGTAATTATATCGATTGTACAGTTTTTGTTATACTTTGTACCATGGTATAACATTGAACAGTTTTTATTTGCAAAAGTTGTATTATAAACTGTAGGCAAACCAATATCGTATGGTTCTCCAAAGTTAAATCCAGTTATATCAAGATTAATTAAACTTTGTTGTTCATCATATTGTATTTTAGAGTTGTAAACAATACTTTCTTTTCTATTAATTTGATTTGATTTAGAAAAGATTCCAATTAAAAAGAGCTTTAATGTGGATGATGATATACCTTCTTTAATATGAACTGATATGTTATTGCCTTGGAAATCAATCATAGTAGCTTCATTGTTAAAAGTTGCACTTAATAACTTGTTTGGATCAGTTTTAGAAGAGTATGTTTTTAAATCATCACAATAGTAATTAACAACTGGTTCTGATTCTAAACAACCAAATGATGTAGGATACAATTGTTCATTAATAAGTTTACATTTGACAAGCTCCATTATATAACTATCTGATATAATACCATCAATTGTAATCGATATGTTTGAAGATATTTCAATTGATTCTACTTTAAATTTAATTTGATAATGGTCTATTACTTGACACTCTTTTTCTATACCATTATATGTAATATTGCACAATGATGAATTTGTACCAAAATTAGCACCATAAAGTATAACAGTATTTATTGGATCATTATATTCAACATTATGCTTTAAAACATTGGGTTTTGCATATGAGTACTCTATTGTAACATTTTTGTTTGCAAATGTTATGGTTGCTTGTTTTGTACCAGTACCAGGTATAACATTAAAAGAGTATGTGTTGTTTACTTTAGTTCCAATTGTTTTCGAATTTTGAATTTTGAATATTGGATTAAAAGTATTACTTTTATAATATTTACAATCATAATATGAAAGTAAAACTATTAATGGCGTTTTAGAATCTGTAGATGGTGGCGATATAATTTCAACATTTGAATTTGCATTAATAGTATATTCATTTGATTTTAAACCATTTACAACTAATTGAACAACAGCACTTCCACAAAAGAATGGAATCTTGAATACCGATTCAGTTTCATCAGTTTGTATGGATAATGGTAATATAATTTGTTTTATATTACTATCATATGTCACAATAACTTGTGTAGAATTATCATTATAACTACCATGGTATTTACCTTGTATTGTAAAGATAAAACCATTTTGTGTGACACTAGAAATAATGGGCTTTGCATATTCATAAATTAGGTTATTTATACTGCATATATTATTTACACACACTTGAATTGTATTTTGATTATTATCAACTCCTTTTGGTAATCTACATTTTATATAGGTTAAATTGCTAGGTGGAATAAAGTTACATAATTTGCCGAAAATTGTAATTTTTAAATCGTTCTGTTCTTTTTGAGATAAAAGTTGAGTACCAGTAATTTCAACAATACCTTCATTATACTTTGTAGCATTTGTGGAATATGAGGCTGGGTATGGTGGTATTTGTATTGTATTATTTGTATAAAGCGTATCAATAAAAATTGAAATATTTAGTTCTTGAGTGTATATTGAGGAATAGTTTAAAACCATTTCTTCATAACCATTAGGTGATATATCACTTTCTTTTAAAGGTGAACCATTAATATATACAAATATTACGGTAGGCATAATATGCCCTTCTGTGGTATTATAAAAATTATCACCTTTAATTGTTAAATGCTGATTTGTGGTATTATAATATACTGATGAGATCGATGGACTTTGAAATGACCAGTCATAGCATTGTGTTTCATCGATATCTAAACAAAATTCAAATTTTCCATAACCACGTGGAAATGTAATTGATAGAAAGTTTGGATTATAGTTTGGATCATCATATTCACCGGCAACAGTTACATTATGATAAAATTCTCCTGATTTAAAAAGTGCTACTTTCAAATCACCAGTTCCGAATCTCATGAACTCGCCCGTGACATTTATAACCCCACCCTTTGTTGGAGGTTTATTTAAAAACGTTACATTATATGAATGAAACAAACATCTATTTACTGAGAATGACTGATAGCCACATTCGGTTTTCTTTGTTTTACCATCATGTATACAAGCATCTGCTGCGGACCCATAGTATTTTTTACTATCCATCGTTGCCACATAACTAATTCTGTCAAAAGTATAATTTGAAAACTCTGGATCGGAGAATTTAGACCAAGTAAAATTAAAAGTTAAATATGGAATTTTAAAATATGGATCTTTATAAATTGTAATATTAAGTGGAACACGGTCATATAATCCAGAAAAGTCAACAACTATATTTCTATATGAAGAACGAACATCTAAAATTTTTAAATTAAAATTATAAATTTATTATTTAAAAAAATAAAATATATTTTTAAAGATTCTAAAACTTACGATAACCAAAGCAAATTGATAAATGAATCAAAAACACCAAAACTATTATTTTATTTTTTTCTTTAAACATATTTTTTTAAAAACTATCCAATAATAAATCTGTATAATATGGTATCTTAAAAAAACAAAAAAAAAAAAAACAAGTAAAAATTAAAAAAAAATTACAAATAAAAAAAAAAAATAATTACAAATTTGTTTTTTTAAATCAGTTCCTAAATAATGAAGCTCAATATAAAAATAACAATTTATTTGATAATTATAATTTCACATATTAAAAAAAGTTGTTTTAGTGTGAAAAAAAAGTGTGGGTGGGTGTATTTAGGGTGAATTTTTTTTTATTTTTAATTTTGCAATAAATTTAAACTTAAGAGTGATATCTATTTATATACTTCTATTTTGAAAAATATATCCTCACTTTGCAGTTTTAAAGAAACTATAATATTATGTAATAAACAGAAATCTCTATATATAAACAAAATAAATAAATAAATTATATTATTTTTTATTCTAAAAACATATTATTAAACTATTTTTTTTTTTTTGAACATTATTTTTTATTTCTATTTTTTTTTATTATTTTTTAATTTTTTTTTGTGTTTTCAATTTTGTTTTGATGGTGTCTCCAAACACCATATACACCACCAGCAAAAAGTAAAGTTAATCCAATTGATAATGTAGTTGCTAATGCAATAGTTTTTGTTTTTTTCTTATTATCTTTGGCTGCTAAATGTTCAATATTATTAAATGACGAATAGATTGTATTATTACCTAATTTAAGTGTAAATGGAATCATAAGAGTTGTATTACTACTTTCTTTATCTTCTAATATAAGATCTTTGTTAAAGTTATGTGGTAAAGTTAATTGACATGTAATTATATCGATTGTACAGTTTTTGTTATACTTTGTGCCATGGTATAACATTGAACAGTTTTTAGTTGCAAAAGTTGTATTATAAACTGTAGGCAAACCAATATCGTATGGTTCTCCAAAGTTAAATCCAGTTATATCAAGATTAATTAAACTTTGTTGTTCATCATATTGTATTTTAGAGTTGTAAACAATACCTTCTTTTCTATTAATTTTATTTGATTTTGAAAAGATACCATTTAAAAAGATCTTTAATGTGGATGATGAACCTTCTTTAATATGAACTGATATGTTATTGCCTTGGAAATCAATCATAGTAGCTTCATTGTTAAAAGTTGCACTTAATAACTTGTTTGGATCAGTTTTAGATGAATATGTTTTTAAACCATCACAATAGTAATTAACAACTGGTTCTGATTCTAAACAACCAAATGATGTAGGATACAGTTGTTCATTAATAAGTTTACATTTAACAAGCTCCATTATATAACTATCTGATATAATACCATCAATTGTAATCGATATGTTTGAAGATATTTCAATTGATTCTACTTTAAATTTAATTTGGTAATGGTCTATTACTTGACATTCTTTTTCAATACCATTATATGTAATATTGCACAATGATGAATTTGTACCAAAATTAGCACCATAAAGTATAACAGTATTTATTGGATCATTATATTCGACACTATGTTTTAAAACGTTGGGTTTTGCATATGAGTACTCTATTGTAACATCTTTGTTTGCAAATGTTATAGTTGCTTGTTTTGTACCAGTACCAGGTATAACATTAAAAGAGTATGTGTTGTTTACTTTATTTCCAATTGATTTTGAATTTTGAATTTTGAATAATGGATTGAAAGAATTACTTTTATAATATTTACAATCATAATATG